GCGGAACTTATATTTATTTAATAAAAAGGAGATTGATTGGGGAGCCAAGGAAACGGCTTGAATGTGACTAAACTGTGCATTTTAGCCAAAATTAAAGCTTTTAATTAAAGCTTAAGACTTTTTTTATGTATATTTTTGCATTTAATGCATTTTTTTACTATCTTTATATCATATTCCCTTTTTAATGCTATTTTATTTTTACTTGTTGTTATTAATATTTTCTTTTATGTTTTTTGTATTTCTTATTGTTACTTTTTACATTTTATATTTTTTACTTCTTTTTAATATTTTACTTTGCTTATCATTAATTTTATTATTATTATTACTATTATTATTTTATTTTTTGAATTTTATTTACTTATTTCTAAATTTTTGATTTTATTTTACGTTACGGATTTCATTTATTATTATCATTTCAAAAAAATTTCGAACGCGTTATAAAGTTTAGACTTTTATTAAAAATTAAATGTAAAATTAACACTTTTGGCTCTCCAATAAAATTTTAATCATTCGTCTTTTCATCTCATTTGTATCAAGGACTTTCGTTTATTATTATTTATTTATGATTTATTATAATATTCAAAGCTTTATTCTTGAAAAACTGCATGAATCATAAAATATTGGCCTTTCAGGCAAAACTACGAGACTTCAGACTCCGCCCTAAGGGTTTCCATTTCCTCGTAATCCATAAGTATATCCAGATCCCAGAGAATGACTTTAAAATTAAAGAACAATTTACTTAATAAATTCTTGTAATTTGAATTCGAATTTCATGTAACTCAAAACTTTCTTTAGGTAACCGACCTCTTTAAAAGGAGATTAATTCTTATATGTTTACAATTTGTATATTTTACTTTCGCATTTTTATTTTTCCGAGTTTGTTCAATTATGAATTCTTATTTTAATTTGGATTATTTTTGATATTGTGTTAAAACTCTTATACAAGGTTAAGATTATTAATATTGGTGAGGAATTCCCTTGCTTTGATTCCAAATTAATATTGGCTTTAGATGCTTTAAGTTTATCTGCCTTCTATCTCTCTCTCTATATATATAAGATACATTCTAAGACGGTCGCCTTTTCCGGTATGAAAAATGCAATCTAAATTTCGTTAATCGGCCCTGCAGAATGGAAGATACAAAACTGTCACCTTCTAGTTCCTTGTACGAATTAAAGGAAGAACTATAATTGCGAAAAATTTAGGATACCATATTTCAAGGAAAGTATTCATTTTTACCGCTTTAAATCAATTGGAATGACATTTTTTGGCATAGTATCTGGACAGAATTAATATGGGGCCCTCTTTATCCAATAACAGATTGTAAAATGGATTCAGAAAAGAGATTTTTTTGGTATTTTCAAGTATTTTCGTTTCGTGAGATACGTATCTCGAATAACTCGAGAATGAGTAGCCGTAGAATGTTTTAGTATATGGGTGTGCTATAACATCTAGTTGTACTCCTCGCTTTTTCCTTGCAACCGGTCACTTTAACATGTATAAATATTGTACATTCAAATAATTTTAACAAAGTGCGTAAACCACATTTTCCTTATCATCGCTTATAATAAATAAGCCAAATTTCAAAATGCGCCAAAACATAAATTAGCGTATAATCTTGGGAAATTTTAAATAAAAAACTCTAATTTTTTGCAGGTATGCTTAGAAATATATCTACTTTATGATGATGGCAAACATTTGTAGGTTATAATTCAAAATTGTTTTCGAAGAATTTATAAAAAATATTTAAAAATACAAATTTTAAAAATAACTCATAAAAAATGGGCGAATTTTATTTGGAATGAACCTGAATTTCGAAATATGAATCAAATGTTTAATAAAAAAAGAGATATTAATAAATATATATCAAATTCAGTTAACAATAGGGAGCTAAAATTTTGAGAACTAATTGTTTAAAAACTACTCATGCGCATTTATATATCTATATATTAATCTAATATATAGCCTAAGCGCGCTTTCGAGGCATGGAAAATGCAATTTGAATTTCGTCAATCGGCCCAGTAGAACAGGAAAATCAAACTGTCTCTTCCCCCCCCCGCAGTGTACATTCACAAAAAAATAAAGTAATTAGGAACTCTGAAGCGTTTGCAGTCTTGCGAGACTTCATTTGTTCTTTATAGTAGTATTTTACATGATTGTATTTATATCTTTTATGTGTCAGTGTGTCATTTTGCGTATTATCTGTGTATGTCATTTTGCGTATTATCTGTGTCCTGTGTATGATTACGTTATATATTGTTACGAAATGTAAAGGCGCGGTAAGATGGCTTCCCCGCAAAGCAGTTTTAGGGTTGCCATAAAATGCAAGGGAAGGTAGTGTTGCCACATTTGGCGAGAAATCGCTCATTTGGCGACAAAAATTGACGGATATACCATGGACGGCATGGACGGTTGGAGAACCTTCTGGAACGAATTCTTACCGATTTAGTCCAGAATGTTCCCGAACACAAGCCGAAAGCTATATAAACCGTGCTGGTCTGCAGTCAGGAAGTGTGTGTCTCATCGAGAGTGTGTGTACCTCGTCTAGCGAGCTGATAGTCAGTCATTGAGCGAGTGTCTCGAAGTCTAGCGTCGAGTTGGCCGTCCTGTGCATCGAGAGTCTTTTAGTGCATCGTCGAGTTTTGTCTCAAACTGTGCTGAATCGAAAGCTATACTCTTGTGTATCGTCGAGTGCATCGCGTGGACAGTCTCGAGAGTACGTGGAGTTCCGAGAGCGACCAAACAAGAGTCGGAAGCTGTACTCTGGTGCTTTGCACTGAAGCTATCTCCACCGTTATTGCTTGACAGTGTGAAGGCTGTGTCGCTGATTGTTCCAGCGTGTTTATAGTAGATTTTCGACGACTGTAAAAAGTAAGTGTTATTGGAGCTGTCCTGTTTAATATTGGCTAAATAAAGTGTGTTTCGATACTTAATCAAGGTCGTCGTTATTCACTCCAAATCTACGAACCCCGTACGAACGTGAAGGAAGAAAATAACGTAACAACTGGTGTCAGGAAGAGAAAAACGCAACAATATTGATGTATTGTACTGTTGATGCAGCATTTTTCCTTTGTACCAGTATTAAGTATTATTTCATTTTTATTATTATTAAGTTGGTTTAATTTCTTTTATAGGAGAATTAACATAGTTTAATTATTCATGGTATATTTTAGTATTTTTTAAACATTTTTTCTTTGCTATCTCCAGACCTAGATGTTATGATTTTATTGTTGAATTGTATCTCCTTGTTATGAGTTATTTACTTACATCTGTAAGTCTCGTGATGGAACACGAGAGTTTGGTATTTGCTTTAATTAAATAAATATACATATGTAATGATTTAGGAGAGTCGATTGCAACTGCAATAAAAATTGTACACATATAGTAGAAACTTGCAGTCATGGTAGATTTAATAAGAAGCTATGGTAGCAGATTGAAATAATATTTCTTTGATTTTAATTCACATTTTGCAGCCACGATAGCTTGACATATTAATCGCGTCTGTTTCGAAACATTTACGTTTTTCCATAGCCACGCATTAGAACAGAAGCAGCAGTCTAGGTACGCCGAGAAGCAGGAGTTCAAGATGAAATTTTAATTCAAAGTGAGTTTAGTTTAAGTTTCAATACATTTTGATTGGATAATTAATAAAGCTCTAAAATTACTATTGGATATTTGAGTTCTGTTCCATTTACGTCACCAGCGTTATGCAAAAGTCATATGCTATGGAACAATTTAGAAATAACGTAGTACAAAAAAAGTTATTATGAGCAATTAGTATTTTTAGAATAGGGGGAAGAAATACGCAAATTAAAATGAAGAATTAAGGGGCTATTGCCAATTTAAGTTATAATTTTAAATAAATAGGTTGCTATAAATTAAGAAGTTCGCCAAGTAAATTATTCTTGGCGCAAACTTAAAAAAAAAAAAAAAAAAAAAAAAGCCAAGATAAATGTTTAAATTTTTCCGTAAATTTCGCACCAAATTTTACAAAATTTTATATTTAGGCATAATTTGAGTCGTAGAATCGAAATATGGAAAAACAAGTTGGCATGTCATTTAAAAAAAAAAGTCCGAATTTGTGTCTAAATACCTATGTTAGAATTATGCTATATATAAATCTAATATATATCCTTTTTGCGTAGTATAAGTCAAGATATGCATGTTAGTTTTCACTATAGATCAAACATGCAAAATTTCTGACTTAGTGACTATACAGCCATGAAACACTTGAAGATTCCACCGGACTTTTTTCCCCGATAGAGGAAGAAGCTCCTTCACGCATAATATAAATAGGTACAGTTTTGCTTTGATGGTCTTTTGCAAAGAGCACTCTATAGACAAATAGTCCTTGTGTTCTTTATATAATAAAGTAATCCAATTCGATTTTTACAAACTTTGTTCTCAATATATGTTAAACAAGCTTTGAAAACATATTTTTGAATAACATTTGATATAACAAGGTTTGGCGCTACTCTCATCATCTAGTAAGCTTGTCTACGGTGCTGACTACTGAAGTTAAAATTCTGTATCATTGCGTTAAACTGTATCCTGTTCAGTCTTTGTTTATCACATTCTATGCAAATTTGCATACTTTAAATGAAGAATAGCTTTCTAAATGGGGACTCAGATTTTCTGAAACAGTGGCTTTTCCAATCATAAAATATGTTAAACTATCAAACTTGCAGTTTTAGAAAGACTACATTACGTTGCAGAGAATAAATACGATTTTATTGACCTTCTTGTTTCAGATATTTAACTTTAACGCATATCAAATTTCTAATATTCAGAAGAAGGTCGAAATTTCTAAATTCCGTCATTTGCTATTGAATCAGTATTATAAATAACTTTTCAGCTCGTATTAGAATCAATATAACTTAATGTTTCAGAATAGCTTACTTTTATATTTTGTTCATTCAATCGACTGAATAAAGTCTAAGTAATATTTGATGGAATTCATTATACTTTTAAATGCACAAAATAATGATTTAAATATACTTACTAGTTCTTCGCTGTCATCCGAATAACTCTCTGTCTAAATGGGAAGGAAAAAATTACAGTTTTAGTTAAGTAGCGTTTCGAGGATATACTTATTATTAGAAGGTGCGCCCATAAAGTAACCGAAGAATTTCTTACATATAAGAAAAATATTATTTACCTTTAAATAAGTTTATCTGCTTTAAATTAGTCGCCAGAAGACTCTGTATAATTTTTCCAATGTTTCCCAACTCATCTAAACACAGTTTATAGGCGCTGGAACTAACCGTACTCAAAACACGAGTAACATTTATTTAATATGAGAAGTTTTCAAATCTCTGTTTTTTGATAAGAATCTTGAGCTTCGGAAAAAGGAAAAAACCAGCTGTCGATAAGTCGAGAAAATATGGTGAGTGGTCAATCTTTCTGTAAACTGTAATTGAATGCTTTGCAAGATATTGTTGTACAGACAAGCTCTATGGGGTCTAGCCTTATCCTGCAAAAGAAACCAATCCCCAGAATAAAAAAGCTCTTTTTAAGTCACCTGATTCTGTTTCTTAATCGAAAAAGTATCTCCTTGGAAAAATACTGATTAACTGATCGATTTTCAGGGACAAATTCATGGTGAATAAGTCCATAGTAATCCAAAACTGCAATCAACATCACCTTAATCTTATCCGCGACATTTGCTTTTTTAAATTTATGGTATGGGAGAAGACGGTCTTTTACACTGTGCACTTTGTCTTTTTGTTTCTGAGCCGTACTGTAGATACCAGGTCTCATCTTTCGCAATGATACACTTCAAGAAATTGGTGTCATGTGTCGCAGTAGTCAACAAATCTTACACAGCAAATTTTTCTCCCTTACGTTTTGCTGTTCTATTAAAATCCGAAGCACACATCGAGCACAAACTTTCCTCATTTACAGATTTTCAATTAAAATCAACCTATCTTTGCGTATGCTAGGCATGTCTGAAATTTGATGAGTTGTTACACGTTTATGAGCTTTTACCAAAGAATGAATTCTCTTCACATTTTCCTCATTCTTTGAAGTTGAAGAACGCCCTTTCTTTGGTTCATCTTCAAAGATTTCGCTCTCACATTTAAAGCGATTGTAACACTCATACACTTGTGTTCTTGGTAACGGTACATCACCATGTACTGTTTGAATCATACGAACGTTTAGGTAGCAGATTTACTTAATTTGTAAGAAAATTCAATGTTAATACGTTGTTAGATCTTTAAAGCACTTTATTTATTTATTTATTTTTGTAAAATGTCTTCTCAGTAAATGAAAATCACATAGGCATTTTGCTTAGCAAACCACAAAATAACCATGTTACTTTATAGCGGCACCTTATATATGTGTTAATTTAATTATGTTTGTCTTCATACACGTAGCACGCATTAATAGTAATCATGTGTATCACTTAAAAAGATGTCATTACAAAATTCAAAGCAATACAAAGAGTTCAGGCTCGCAGTTCAGTAATTAAGGATTTTATAATCGAGATGAGAAATGCTCTTTTCGATGAAGGTAAAGATTTTAACAACGAATTTGTGGGCGGATTAGTAAAACATATATTAATATGTTTTACTAATTCACCTGTAAATTCGGTGAACTGAATTCACTTATAACTTCTATGAATTTATAGGTGAATTAGTAAAACATATATTATTAAATATATATTAATTCTTTCACTTTTTTAATTTATTATTCGGTCTTTGACTTGCTACTTTATAGCGGCACCTTATATATATTAATTTAATTATGTTTGTCTTCATACACATCGCATGCATTAACAGTCATCATCATGTGTATCATTTGAAAAAGATGTCATTACAAAATTCAAAATGATAGAAAGTAGTTCAGGCTCGCAATTCAGTAATCAAAGATTTCGTAATCGAGATGAGAAATGCTCTTTTCAATGAAGGTAAATAATTTAACAACGAATTTACAGGTAAATTAGTAAATCAGTTCGTTTAAAGGTTAGTTCTGCTTTGTGAGTTAAATGATCAGTTCTTTGGCGTTTGTTCTTGAGCAAAGCCAACACGGAAAAGATGTAAAATAAACAAAAATTCTGAAAAATCCCAATATAATCGAATACAACAGTAATAATATTAAGTATTATATGATACATTGGCGTGCAGAAATCGACAAGACGTGTTATCACGTTGTTTTCAAGTGTTTCAAACTGGTAAAATGCATACCATAATATTGTCGATATTTAAGATTATGAGAAAGGAGAGCAAAGAAATACAAATTTTAAAAGTGGATTTCAAACTTAACAGGACGGCAGAGTTCAACCACAGTCTTCCATCGCTCTTTCGTCACCAGCAGGTTAAGCTACCGATCCTCCATCGCTGTGGCTGCTCTTCAACGGCGGCTATTAAACCTTCGGATAGCTGTTCTTGTCGTCCGAAATGCTATCCTAGCTTGATGATGCTTAATAACACTTAAAAAAATCTTCCTGTTTGAATTACCATACTGCGACAGCAATTCGGCATCGTTCAAACTGCTGCGCATTATGCAATATCTGCAACTGCAATGTTAAGAGTATAGTGCCATGGTGTCTTGTGCTCACCCATAGCGCCTGCAATACGTCTGTTGGCTGTATTTAGTGGCGCAATGCCCTACCCTAATGCAGCCGCAGACCATTATCTACGTAGTTGGTCCTTCATTCATTTATACTTCTTTGTTCTATTATTGTATTAATTTCTTCTCTTCAAGTTTTGCTCACAAGTGTAGATAGCATTAATTTATTTTTATGTAGATGCCGTTTATGTTGATACTTTCATGAACCTACTTTTTTCTATTTAAATTTTCCAACGAAGTAACTCCGAAAATAAACAACTTTTTAAATCTCTAATTAAACCATAACTCTTCGGTAATATTTTTTTATTCATACTATCTTTTAGCTTAAGCTCTTTTCCTGAATGTTCAAACATCCATCAAATTCGTCAGGCCCAAATTTGTTTGATTTTGTCCTGCAAAGGGATCATTTTTTAGGTCTAGTTTGGAATGAGTTGTTATTCTGTATTGAAAAAGTGTGTTATGTATTATAAATGTACATTATAGTGATAGAAACTGTAAATACTATTGTTTATTAAGTCGAAAACTTCCCATTACTTCACATGGAAGCTTGAAAATTTATATCTCTTTCACTGTACTTGATATGTATGCAAACGTTTGTTCTTGTTATGTAGATGTTCATTTTCGGATTTTTGTGACACTGCTATGAGCCGTGAAAGTGAGAATGTAGCATTTTAAATTATTAGGTCAAAAACAGGAATTAAAATGCGTAATCAAGTTTTTGTGGGATAAACGATTGAATCTGACATTTTTCCAGTCATAACATTAAAATCAAGAATGCTGTCATGAGAAAAGGCTTTACCACTAACGTATTGAAAAATAATCACTAAAATCAAATTGTAAGTACCATTCATACATTGTAAGTTAGACCTGTTTCTAAAAGACTTTTGAGACATGCGCATTAAAATGGTAAAGAGAGATTTTATAGCAATAATATTAGCGGTATGTGTTAAAACAAAAATTTAACTATGCTTCTTTTCAAATTCACGGGGAACCCATATTACACTCGTACACATTTTATTAAAACACTTGCGTAAACTTAAATGGCTTTTCTCGAAATCTTGCAAACTGGACATTGAGCCTTTGGTACCAAAATATACAGCTATGGAAATGGTATATTTTGCTTAGGTCATGTTACGATATATAAATATGTTAAATGAGTTTTAAGCTATACAGATAGATGCATTAACGAAGTCTCGCTATTCAAACCTTGAAATGATTATGCACCTACATTCTCAGCTTTCAAGAATTATTAAATTCTATTTGATTATGAATCAGTTACCAAGCCAGGAACATTTTATACAATATAGTGTCCCAGAATTAAGCAACCAAATGTCGAATAAGCATTATACACTCTAAAATACGCAAAAAAAAAAAAAAAAAAAAAAAAAAAAAAAAATGACGTGTCAAAAAGAAAAGAAAAGCATAGTTCAGAAGTTACGGAATACTGAATATCGGTGAAAAATAATATAAACTATAAATATTAATACAGATGATAAAACATTATAAACTATATAAAACATTATTTGCTAAATAGTACGTGTGAAACGGATTGTGTTAGTGTGTGTGTAAATACTTCTGTATCAGTATTAACCGCTATTATACCACTTACTCTATATTCTTGTTTGTCATATGGTAAGATATTTTTGATTCTGTGAATGCCTCATGTGAACTCTACTCGAAAACTTTTAGACTGTGACATCATGTCTGAACTCTAATCTACACCCGTCACCAACTCTTTCGCAATTTTTATATCCTATATTGCCTTCAAATCCTTAAATTTTTATATCCTATATTGCCCTCAAATCCTTAAATTTTGCCACTTATTGATAAGTATTGTTATATTACAGATTTGTTTCGGACTATTTAACAATTCCAAATTCAAATGTTTCGACGCAAGTTGTAACCAGACTCCGAGTACTTCAGTGTTTACATCATTCTCCCTGAGATATTGTAATTTCCATATATAATTTCTGTTCGTTTCTTTGTGTTGTCTTCTGCATTAAAATTACACATCAATTAAACTTTGTGTAACCTGGAATAAGCTTTTTATGCTGTGTGTTTCATCCCATTGTGATATTTTATCCCGAAGAATGTTCCCCCGAAGTTTAGTAACTTAATTCTGGGACATACTTTAAAATTTCCAGCTTCACTGAATGTATTAATTACTTGTATAAATTCATGCTATTGAATAACACTTAATATTACCCAATCTTCCATGTTTTCACCCTTGAACTTGAACGGTTTCTGTGGTTTGCGCCATTCTTCTTTTCTTCGCTTAGTCTTCTTTTGTTTTCCATCAGAAAGAATAGGGAATACATTCCCCAGCTCATCCTTAAAATTATGCAAAACAAAATCTAATCTTTGATTTAAGTAACTGTTTTATTCATAATAAAACGTACCGCTTAATTATTATAACGTCTGTTAAAATTTAATGCGGAATGTTAAATACAAGCAGGAGAAAACTGCAATTACATTTAAAGGAACAGCTATAAAAATTCATGTAATTACAAAGGTTTTGCAGCTCAAGATCTTTATTTTGTTGTCTGACATATCTTCAAAATTCTCAGTTCCTTACTTCTGCCAAAATTAAATTTCAATAAGACCATAAGAAATATAATATAAAGCTATGTTCTGATATAGTTGTACTGAGTTCCAATGAAATTGTACTCAGCAACAGCATGCTTATCTGGGATAATTTTTATGCTGAATTCATTCGAATGTTTGCTATTAAACTGAAAAAAAAAAAAAAAAAAAAAAAAATCTGAAATGTTTCAGATTTTAAATTACGTCCAAAGGGGCGTTTTTTTAAACATTTTGTGTGTTACCTTTCTTTATTAATATATCATGTTCCTCGCACTTATTAAACCATAAGATCCAGTGCAACAGCAATATCGCAAAATAGTTTTAAAACGAGCATATCTTTAGAATTTTTTCCGATACCAGAGACTCACGCGCTGGAAATAAAAATGTTTTTTCTGCACAACGTTGCCATTGCTTCGCTTTGAAATCCTTGAGTTGTTAATCAAAAATTCGTCAAAGTTTTAAAAAAACAGGAAATCGATCATAAAACAAATTTCAAATTTCAAATTTGGTCTTCCACATGCTCATATTCGTTGGAGGATTACGTTATTCAAAATTCGATGACTCTATGTACCGTTGTTTATCACAATACGAGAAATATACATACATTTACGCAGATTTTTCATTATTTAATTTCTTCAAATATAATGCAGGACTCTAACATTTTGTGGCAACAGTTTGAAAAGTGAACCGACATTTATGAGTCCGACGCAAAATGCCAAAACGAAACTAATAGTCCTTCGGGATTCAAATCCCTTTGGACTAAAAAAAAAAAAAAAAAAAAAAAAAAAAAATCTTTACATAGTACATCGGTGCATTGCGTAACGAACATCGGCACATTGAACGCGCTTATGGACAATAAAATGTGCTACATGATGGATTCTTTGCTCCATTAAAATCGACGCGATTCATGACACGTTGAAGGCGGAATGCATTTGATTTACTTTCTGTTTTATCAAGGTGTAAAAATGGTCTGCTTGTAAATCAAGACAACTAACAAAGAAGTGAAAAAATATCTTCTTAATATGTTCTTAAAATGTTGTATTGTTGCCTTCAATACCGCAGTAGTAATTTAAATCTCTACATATAATGAAAGAAAGAGTCTGAGTGTCTTTCGTTCGTGCTGCGCGTAAGCTAATAGACCCAGGACTAAGAAATATGGTATATAGGTGCATATATACAGGAGCCAGTGCACATCGAAGCGATTTTTTCAAAATTCGAATCAGATTTTTTTTTAATTTTATCTTTTCGATTTTATCGCATCATTTTGAATAGTTTCATTCTTTTGGAAATATGGTTTTGGCAACAGTTTTTCATTCAATTGTATACTGGACTGCTGACTGTTGAAAATCAGCATTATTGCCACTTCCAAAAATGAGGGCGATAATTCTGTGCAGTTTTTAAATTTAATTTTTCTCTTGGATACTGGACGTTTGCTAAGAGAAGTCAACGGGAAGTTGGTTAATTTATTTATTAGGATAGTTAATATTTGTACTAAAGGATATTGCTTATTTCATTGTAATTTTGTTATATGTAATATATATTTTTTTTTATTTTTATTATTATTCTTTTAATGAAGTTGTTCTGCAGAGTAAAATTCTGCGCAGTTTTTAAATTTAACGTTTGGTGTTCCTTTCGGGCATTTCTCCGGTACATTTAAAAGCCAGACAAAGGCTGGCAGCGTAGCTGCTAGTATATAATAATTGGCTGCCCTGGAACTTTTAGTCAGTTAGTTGAATAATTCCGTTTAGAATTTGTATCTGTTTTGCTAGAGCGCATCTTGCTCTGTATTTACTATTTTAGACTCCCCTGTGAGTGATATCTGCGTTCTGTGATATTCCTCACACATTAAAGAGAATTTACCTTACCTGTCTTTTTCTCTATGAGCTATTTATAGCTGTTTATGCTTTTGCATGATAAGTTACTTATTTCAATAGAGAGTTCTTCTGGTTTACTTGGTTCATCTATTAAGGATAACCCGTAGTAAGCGATAATATTGTTACGAAATGCACAGGCGCGGTAGGATGGCTTCCCCGCAAAGCAGTTTTAGGGTTGCCATAAATGACAAGGGAAGGCAGGGTTGCCACATTCGGCGAGAAATCATCCATTTGGAGACATTTGGCGACAAAATTGACGATATACCATGGACGGATGGAGAACCTTCTGGAACGAATTCTTACCGGTTTAGCCTAGAGTGTTCTCGAACACAAGCCGAAAGCTATATAAACCCTGCTGGTCCGCAGTCCGTTAGTGTCTCCGAGTGTGTGTCTCTCATCGAGAGTGAGTGTGTCTCGTCTAGCGAGTCAATCCCTGCGGAGTCGATCGAGTTGACAGCCGGGCAGCGAGTGCCGAGTGGGTCGTCGAGTTCACCGAAGGAGTCTCTTAGTGTATCGCGGTTAGTGCCTCATCGAGAGAACGTGTTGAGCTCCCGGAACGACTGAACCCAAGAGTCGGGAGCTGTGCTCGTGTGTCGTCGAGTGCATCGCGAGTTGTAGCGTGGAGAGTTTCGAGAGTACGTGCAGTTCCGAGAACGACCAAGCAACGTCGGTAGCTGTACTCCGGAAAGCAGAGTCGGGTGCTTTGCAGGAAGCTGTTTCTACATTGCCTGACAGTGTTAAGGCTGTGTCGCTGAACGTGTCAGCGAGTTTATAGCAGTTCGACGACTGAAAAAGTGATTTTGGAGCTGTCCTGAGAATATTAGTAAATAAAGTGTGTTTCGATACTTCATCAAGTGTCGTCGTTATTCACTTGAACCCCGCACGAATGTGAAGGAAGAAAATAACGTAACAATATGCTAACCAAGAAGAACCCATAGTAAGTGATAAAACTTACCAATTCCTCGTCTTCCGATAGAGGCGAATCTTCTTCTACCAGCCTCCGGGCGTCGCTCCGACTCTGAGCCCATGCTTCTAGACTCCTAAGTCTGAAATTCTGCGCCACCCGCTGAAAGAGATTCATTCGGTCACAAAGATATTTCTAAGCATTTCGACAACCTTTTCTAATCTTAAATGGTAGGAATTTTGCCTCAATGAAATGGTAATTTGTAAAAGAGAACTTAAGTAATTTATGATATTTTTTAAAATAATAACAAGTAACAATTATGTCATTTAAGACGGCTTTACTTAAGTTTATATTTTTGATAAGAGTTGCAGTTCTATTTTTCCTTCCGTAGTGTTCCGGGAGAGGTACAGATACCGATTAAGAGATGCGACGTATCTCAGTTTTCTTAACTTTTTAAAAATAAATTAAGGATAACCTTGGCGTCTTTAAACAACAGGGGTCTTTATAATAAGGAAGTACCATATAGTGCCGGTGCTAGACTTTTCCCACGCCGATGCAAAGTCTGCAACTCGAAAATTCTGCTCCCGGTTCCTTCTTAAATTCTATACCTAATTTTTTCTATTCGAATAATAAATCTTAAATTCTAAACTTTTGCCACCCCTAAATTCTGCCATTAGGTGCAGTTGCACCTGCATAGTTGCAGGCCCTGGTACCATTTTAACTGCATTCAAATCAGGATTTAAATAACATGAACGATTCTAGACATATTTCCTTCAAATATCTTTCTTTTCCAGAAAACTGAATCGTTCAATATGGTTCGATAAGTTTGCGATGCGCCATCTGGTAAAAATCATGGCAGCCGGAGGGAGGAAGCCAAAACAATAACCTTATCTGCTTAATGAATAAATGTATCCAGCTTGTAAGCATAAACAATGAAAAGCGGAGTTGTTACCCATTCTATGAAGTCCTTGTCTCCAAATTTCTGGATAACCTTCTTTTTCGATATCCTTCTTTTCCATTTCAAAACTTCAGGCTTCGGATGTTCCATGACATAATAAATTTTGGATAGTATCATTAAGTCTTTCTAAAATTTCACGTAAGGAAAAAAAAATTGGTCACATTAATATATCAGCATTGGTCACATTAATATAATATATAATGCAGCTATGAAAACTCTTACCTTTTTTTGAAATTATTTGCAAAGATTCGTGAGCAGTATATAATTTATCATTAAATACTCAATTCAATAATTATTTGTTTTTTAAATAACTATGCATGGACTTGGATTTTAAGAATTTCGTAAAATTTAGCCTTTATTTGGATTTCATATTATTGCAAATTCTTTTCATTTACGCTTCATGTCGTAAGACGTGATTGTATACCTCCCCGCGTCGTGTGATCTTGGTTTTGAACCGAGGACGTCTGCTACGTTATCATTGCGGATCTAGGACTTTTCGCCGTCGCCGTTTCACCAACAAGACAGTCAGCCGGCAGCTGATTCGCCGTGGGTCATTTCGCCGTCAAGTAGGAATGAAATGCGTAATAGAGGTTTCTTATAATATATATAATGATTTACAAATATGGGATATAAAGAAACTACCCATGGTTAGTTAGAAAATTATATCAATATCAAACAGAAAAAAAAATATCATTTTCATAATTATGGGCTAAACGACTGATATAACAGAAGTTACATTATCGTTTCTAAAACTGTGCACATGCAATGTGTACACGCATCGCCAAAATTTCTTGAAATTTTAATCAGCTAGTTCAAAGAAATCACTCATGCTAGCAGGAAATTCACATTTTTATGAAATCGAATCGAAAATTGAATTACTTTGGAATCTTGTTAGCACGTGGCCCACCAGCGGCCGAGCGGTAAAGTCGCTGAACACTAGTAGTTCGGTCCGAGGTTCGAACGAGCTGGCTGCATGGGGTTTTCGTGGTTTTCCCCATGTGTAACGTGTATACGAGCTAGTTTCCCTTAGAAAGTCCTCCACTAAGGCACCCCTCTCCTTAGGCAGATAGCCCTCGAGGCTTCGCCGTAATTAAATAACCTAACCTTGTTAGCACGTTACTCTCTTAAAATTAATAAATATATAGATACATATATTAATAACTCGTATATCGTAAGTAGCGATAAATATATATGTAATGATTTTAAAGCTTAGTTGTGATGGCAGAGTGGCAGGCTGGGAAGACTAACAGATAACGCCGACACAAAAATGAATTAGACGAATTCCCAATCTTTATTTCCACGCATATAAAATCACTTCAGTAGATATTTATCCAATCGTAATGAAATCCGGTACATTTCTATGATTCAATCATAATGAATTATGATAAATTTCTAAGTACCTTGGCTTTGAAAAAGAATGACATAGGCATTTAAGCAAAGGTAAGGCGACGCAGTATTCACAGACCAACAGTTAGGGGAGGGAAGAATGAGGCAATTAACTCGTCAGCGATATTTATACTAAGTCTGAGGTGTAAGTAGAGCTAATCTGTAATTGGTTAATTTGAAATTATTACATAACATAGAAGATTCTCGAATTTGCGAGAATAGATGAATTTAGGGGGAGATCACCAAATTTAGAATGTTAATTATGAGGTCTCCAATTATTTTTAAAGCAGCTATCGTATTTTCTTATATCTTACGTATCCCCCCTTCGAAAAGAAAGGTTGGAAGATCGAGATGGCAGAAAAGCATATGATAAGTTATCAAACAACCAATAAAAATAATGATGCTCGTTTTTAAATTTCAAAATATCACAGAAAAAAAGCTTTACCCAGTCATCTATATCATGAGGTTTCACGGTTACGATGTCGAGAGCTTTCTCTGTCTTCTCTGGTTTCTGTGGTTGTTCTGTCTCTCCAGGTTCTTCTTCAGAGCTTTTTTTGATCTTTTTACCTGGGAGCACAACCACCTCCTCAACGGATGCCTTTTGATGTCGGCGCCGGATGTTTTCCGCCAAATCATAAAGAAGCTCCAAGCGATGAAGTCGAAGGCTGTTTTTTAAATCGCTCTAGTAAAATAGAAAAAATTATTTGAGCCAAAAATTTAAGTCAGTTGCAAGTTAATGAGTTACATAAGCAACAGTTTTTCAATATATCCAAAGTGCTTAAAGATCTCAGGCTGCCCAATTAAATATGATTCTAATAATCCTATATCGTATACTTTGTGTATAACTATTCTGCTTTTTATTTTTAGCTTTCGGTAAAGAATTTTAAAAAAGCAAACATTATGGAATAATATCTGGCAACAGCTTATTACTTGATGTTGGCGCATGATCGTCTGTGCTATGCGAAACCTTTCGCCTCTTAACTTCGCCTAGCAACGAATCTTGTAACGCGCATGCGTCAATATCGTTTGTTTTCGTAATTCTCTTTTTATTAGCTTGTTTCGATGAAAAATTTGTTGCTTGGATTTTTGAATAGCTGCTAATTGTGCGGTTAATTTTCGAATAGAATAAAAGATGGATTTAAAAGAAAATTAGTTTCGTTATTTCGTCGCTACAGTCCATAACACTTGAAATGATAAACATCGTCCGCTACTTTTAAATTTACTCTCCTTTTAAAATGTTGCACGTAAACAAGCTATAGCTTGAAGGATATGTTATTACGCTTTCCGTAGAAGTGAAATACACTTATCCCTAGACTTAACTGTACTCGTTTTACACGGTTTAAAAATTAACGAATTTCAAAAACTTAACAAAAATGTATATTCGAATATATATATTTGAAATCATTTTTGAATCTCAATTCCTTTGATAACACTGGGGACAACAACAAGGATCGGGATTTCCCGTGCTGTAAAAGGGGAATCCCCATGGTATGTATATTTATTTCACAACAATAAAGCTATTTGGTTCATGTGAACTAGTGCAATATCAGTATTTCAGTAGCAAAACTTACATCATTTTTATCTACATATTTGACTGTTTACTGGTAAGTTTTCAATAATTATGTGTTTTGTGGCATTTTTAATAATTTTATAAGGTTTTATAATGCCAAAAGATTTTAACAAAAATCAAATAAAAAGAAAAGTTATTTCTTTAGAAAGAAAAATTAAATATTTGATCATCTATACGTTATAGAGAAAGAGTAACAGATGCTGATAAATTTTACTCCATGAATGAAGGCAAAATAAGGAAACTTAGAAAAAAAATGAAGACTCTATTAGAAAAAGTGTAGCAGCTGGAACTTAAGCAGTAAGAGCACAATTTCATATGTAAAAGAGATGATGCAATGGAAAAGGTAGTAGTGATATGGATAAATCAAAAAACGGATTCCAATCGATAGTAATGCTATTACAAGTAAAACTTTAACGATTTATAAAGCATTTAAGAATCATTAAACAAAGATATTCTTTGCATAATCTAAGATTGAAAGGAGAAAGTGCATCTGCTGATTCGGATGCAGCACAGCAATATCCAGCAAAATTTGCTCAAATCATTGCCGCCAACTCCTACACTTCTGATCAGATCTTCAGTACTGATGAGTCCGGGTTGTTCTGGAAAAAAATGCCTGAAAGAACCTATTTAGCTAAAGCTTGCAAATCAGTTAGTGGTCATAAGATAGTGAAAGGTCGTACAACAATTCTTTTCTGTTGCAACACTTCAGGCGATTATATAATGAAACCATTGGTTATTAACAAATCAAAAACACCACGATCATTTAAAGGAATAAACATAAATAAAGCTTCCCGTTTATTGGATGGCTAACAAGAAAGCATGTGTCACTGCCATAGCTTTCAATGAATGGTTTCATAACATGTTTGTCCCAAATGTCAAAAATTATTCAAGGGATTGCCTTTTAAGGCTCTTTCTATTAATTAAAAATGCACCTGATCATCCTCAAGATTTACAACACGAAAATATAGAAGTTGTCTTTTTACCAAAGAATACAACGCGTCCTTATTTACAGCTGTTAGATCAAGGAATAATTTCGACTTTTAAAGCATTGTATATCAAACAAACCTTCAGGTATATTTTAGAACAAATGGAGAACTCGAAATGAATCTCTTACTCTTGTGGATGCTTCGAAGAAATTTACAATCTTAGATTGCGTTAAGCATGTTGGACTGTCATATACTCAGATTAAACAATCAACGCTCAACGCATGATGGAAAGCAACATGGTCGGATGCTGCTAAAGATGAGAATAATAGGTTACCATTAGAGCATGAAAATTCTCACATTACTAAATTGGCTCAAGGAGAAGGTTTTGAGGATTTAGCTCAGGCAGATATTGAAGAAATAATGGCTGATGAAGAACTAAATGAGGATGAGTTAGTTAACATGATTCATGAAAAAAATAAACATGATGATGACAATGATTCTGATGAAGAGCAATCTGAACTAGTTACATTCACAGCAAGAGTCAGCAGATTAGGACTTGAATTGGGAAGAAAATTAGGCAATCATTTTTTACAATACGACACAAATGTTGAACGAGCTCTCCGACTCCAACGGGAACTTAGTAAGTGCTTAAATCCACATGAGGAGGTTTACAAAGATTTAGGAAAAAAACCTAGGCAATTGTTAATTACGAATTTCGCTACAATGTTTTGTCCGATCTTCGATCTTCCCGAATTCGTCAACCACATTAGCGGAATATTATCAAGAACGTTCAAGTGATGAAAGTGACATGATAGTATGACAGTGATTAAACTTATAATAATTTTTTGAATGATCTTATATTTTCCTAAAAATAACTTGGCTCTAGTGTAGAATTGGGTGCCTTTTCGATTAGCGACAATTTTTTTAAAATTTTGGCGATGAAAGGTCACTTGTGGTTACCATGATAGTTTTAACTTGTTTTAGCTTCCTGATTTTATTTAAATGAAAAGAGATTGATGTGTACATGGACAAATTTAAGGCCGTGCGTAATGCCTAAATTGTGCAATTCTAGGATGTTTTTTTAAGTGAAAACAGATCGATGTGTACATGGACACAGAGTTTGTGCAATTCTTTGACTTTTTATTTTGGTTTTGTATAGCGGCCATCTTGAAATTGTGCCTTCCTGGCGCCGATCTTGGCGTCAAAAAAGAATCGCCAAGAAACAAGGGGCACCCAATTGCAAACTTTTACCAATAACTTAAATATGCACTTCTGTTTCCTACATATACGATGTGTGGCGTTCCGACAGATACTTCAACTTCTATTCATGAGATGGCGCCACGTGTAAAATCCAGTTCTTAATCGGAGCAGCAAAGCGACATCTTTACTCACTCAGACTTCTCGTCGGACAAGTGTACGCGACGCTAGCACGAACTGTGTTCCGAGCTCTGTGTTGATCTCTGCAATGTAATTTAAATTTGTAATTTAGTATTTAATATATTCTTTTGTTATAGGAGATTGTCTATTCTTATTTTCTTTAATTATATCATGCATTAAGCACACACGACCACCAAAGATGTTTTAATGAATTACCACATGTGCTCTTGTGGTGCAACACAGCACAGTGTATTTTTCAAAATTTCTACTCCTGAACTTCTCTTGCTCTCTACAAACCAGAAATAATTTATTTTGCTCCCGGGTAACAGCCAAGTATCATTGGTTGTCATTGTTTGATTCAACTTTTTTTTTACTGTTATAATAATAGCACAAATTGTCTGCAAAGAAAACCAAAATATTTTCTAACAACAGCAAAAGCTTACCTGATATTTTGAACATAACGCTCTGATCAATTCTTTTATAAATTCTCCAGATGTAACATCGAGTTTTCCCTTGCAGCCAATAAGATTTTCAAGGCTTCGCATCTGGTGTTTTAATTCTTCTACCATTTTGATTTGTAAATTAAGAAATATAAGTACACCTATTAAGATATTCACTAGGAATTTAAATGTTTTCGAATCTACGACTAAAAATTATTTATTCAAACAGCTTATGAAAATATTTTCTCCTGATAATTTAAATCAAGGGCCATGCTTTTGAATTCAATAATTTTTAAAAAATTATATCAGAATCATCTATGTTTTCGATTTAATAATTTTAAATTTGAACAACAAGAAATTTAAATATCTAACTGGGAGAAAGTTTAGCTTTTCCTCTTAATCTGGCTTACTTATTTCGCTGCTTGTGTTGGATTTCAGGTGATGTCTAGTTTGTATTTCGTACGTACTTTCATTTATTTTACTTACTCCTTGTTTTCCGCCTCAAATAATTGTAGTTTTGTTTCTTGGAAGTGGCAATAAAAACAAATTTTACCATGAGCTAAAAGTATTTGTGTTTCGTAGGCTTTTTAAAAAGAATTGTTATTTACCAGAAAAATATTTTATTCAAGATCCAAACCTATTTTCAAACATAAATGATACTTTAGAGTATAAATATTAGTCTCTAGACTCCGTGATACGCTGGCAGAGTAATAGTTTATTTTGACGATTAAGCAAATATTTTCTGCTACTCTCAGCGGAATACAAAAGCCGGTTGTTTGGAATTCTAATGTACAGAAATGGAAGTTAATGAAGCTATTCAGTTTGACAAAATGCTTCATAGAATTGGGTTAACGAAATCCATCAACGTTTCAGAAGAAATTTTAAAGAAAATTGTGGTAGATTTTTCTGAATTACAGTCGGAGTTCATTTTTCTTCGTTTGGAAAACTGAAAGTTTGGAATATATATAGTACACTCAGTCTCAGTCTCCCCCAGACTCCAGAAAAAGGGGACAGTTCTTTATTTTCCGTTTTACTAGGCCGACTGACGAAACTAAGCTTGTTTTTCATTTCTCGAACACACGACTTGAGATATCAACATAGATTTATATATAACTTTGTTCTAACATACTGACACAAAATAGGCTTTTACTCAAATGGCATGCCAATTTTTTTTCATATTTCAATTCTATGGATCAAATTATGTCTAAAAACCAAATTTTGTAAACTTTGAAATTTAATTAGTAATTCGGAAATTTACCTTGACACACTTTTTTACTTCCTTGTACGAAGTAAAAAGTAAGTATTGTAATCGCGAAAAAATTTCAGTATCATATTTCAACGAAAATATCCATTTTGACCGCTATCGAATGCAATTTAACGACGTTTTTGCGTGACATCTGTACGTAAGGACAGAATAAAGGACTCTTTCCAGCCACCCCAAAAAATTACAAAACTGATTTAAAATGAGTTCTGAAGAGAACTTTTCGTGGCGTTTGTACGTATCTCGCATAATACAAAAACGAGTAGCCTCAGAACGTTGAAATTTTGTTTAAAGGATTGCTATAACATGTAGATGTCCACCTTGTATTTTGGTTGCAATCGGCCGCACCCAAAGTAACAGTAATCTTAGTTTCTTTATTCTTATATGTTTGTAAATTGTGCACTTTTTGCTTTAAAAATTATTGAATTATGTTATTCTTATCTTCCGGTTAAGGTTTTTATGCTTTAGTAAATCTGCGTGCAATATTTTTAGAATTATCAACAACTTAAAAGTTGTTTAAGTGCCGCTAAGCCTAATTATTTTTGCCATGGCGGCCATGTTTGTTTACATTTGAAACAACAGAATAGTAGATTTGTTGCCAATTTAGAGAAAGTAAGCTTCGCAATAACAAAGATAACGCCTTCTTTATTATTGCGAATTAAATCATGCTTAATCCATTCCGGAATTTATTGAGAAAATAAATGTTTAAGATTTACTCCATAATTTTCATTACAGATATTTTGAGTTTTTATGTATTTTTGCCTTGTCGCGAAGTGAAAACTGAATTAATTGAATGAGAAATATTGAATCGTCTGTGAAAAACTGTTTTTGTTGTTTGCTTAATTTCTTTTATACATCGTTCTAGCTTTATTATAATATTTGAATAGAACATGTGGCCACGATTAGATAATTCTTCAAATGATATAAATTTTGTGCATTCTGAGTTATAATATGATCCTCCTTAATTTCAACTTTTTTGGAAAACAGAACTTTTCAAGTTCGTATTGAGAACGAGCTATCTCAATACTATAATATCAGTGTAATGAAAGCAGGTGTCCCTCAGCGCTCGAATTTTTCACCTTTCCTTTTTAACATCTACATAAATGATCTTCCCAGCCACAAAGATGCCATTATCGCCTGCTATGCAGACGATACTGCAATTCTCAGCAAATCCATCAATCCGCAAAGAACCATCCAAAACCTCCAAAATGCAATAAACTATATCTTCCCATGGTTTAACGTTTGGAAAATTAAAATCAGTGAAAGCAAATTCACTACAATATATTTTCAAAAGAACCCTTCCAGAAGACATCTCAACAATATCACAATTAATAACATCTCCATCCCAAACGAAAAGTGTGTTAAATATTTAGGCGTTTATCTCGATCAAAAACTAACCTTCAACAACCATATCGAAAATATCTGTAAAAAAGCCAACCAAGCAATAGGTAGTATCTATGCACTCATAGGGAGAAATTCTTAGTCTCGCTACAAGCTATCCGCCTGATTTTACTGTATGCTTTCCCAGTATGGGCTGCAACTGCAAGAACTCATCGCAGAAAATACAAAGAATTCAAAACAAGGCCATCCGAATAATTACAAATGCGCCTTGGTTCGTACAAAACAGCCCTCTTCATAATGACTTAAAAATTAAACCCACAGATTCTGAAATTCTAAAAGCTTCTCATAACTTGTTTGTGAAGTGTGTCAGTCATCCTAAGAATATCATCAAAAAACTAGAAAATTATGATTTCACAATTCAACAACGCCACAAGAGGCTCCGCACCATTCACCTTAATAGTCGGTAGTAATGTATATATTTTCGTTTTCTTCTTATTTAGCCAAGATTTTACTTCATTTTCTTTATTTATCAAATTACAAAGCGCTATGGACTTTGTTTCTGCCAAAGCAGGTAGACTTTATGTATAAATATATTTTACTCTCGTGAAACGTTCAATGTTCTGCAAACTGTGTTTTTCATCATTTTACTTTCCAGTTATTGCTTATCAGAAGAATAATTTTTATGAAATTTAAAATATGCCTTACAATACATCCTGCAAGAGATGGCGCCACCAGAGCTCCAGTCAACTAAAATGCTTTTCATCCCTACTAATAGATGGCGCCACACGAGCGCCTCATTTGTTCAAAGTTTACTTATTCTACGGACGGCGGCACAGGAGCCTCCGTCGCTAGTAATCTCTGAGTTCTAGCACAGTATGTGCACAAGTACTTCCATATTATTGGATACAACTTACTTGATTCTTCAAGCATTTAAATGTCGAGTATAATATATTGGCAAAGGCCATTAATGGTCGATTGCCTCTTACTAAGTGATAAGACATAAACATAGTTATAATATGAACAAAATATAATACTGTTAAGTGAACTTAGCGCCACAGTGTCGCTATGGTAAACAAATACAGTGAATTTTAAAGAGTGCATTTATTCTATTGTGGTTTATGCGCTATCGTCGAAGTAAATTTAATTCAATCCAGTAAGTTTAAATGAAATGCAAGAAAAAAATGCGTATAATTTAATATTCCGTACAAGGAAGTTATGTGTTGTACACATCAGATTTTTTTACTTTGTGCCAATAATAATTCAGATGGCGAATTTCTCAGTTTATTAATTAACCTTTTATTCTAACCTATTTCAATTAACCTTTTATTCTGCTCAAAAGGAAAAACTGTATCATATTTTCTTTTAGCATAGATTTTTTAATCAGAGTTGATATTCTCAGACTTTTTTTTTTTTCTTTTTAGAGCTTCACTTTAATTATTTGAGTTGCGTGGTTGAATCATAGTTCTTAAAATAGCCATTTTAAAAATTTCTATTTATTCATACGCACTGTGCACTTTAAACATATTTGTTCATAGTATGTATGTTTTTTTTTTTAAATTCGATTTTATGTATTTGAGTATCGTTTCTTCTGAAAGAATACTTTCTCATCCAGTATTTGTCACGATACCTCTGAAAACTGCATTCTGCATTGAAAGAGAAAAATACCGTTAAGCACGTTTAATGCGTCTTTCAGTGGGCCGTTCAGAAAAGGTATGTAAAAGAAAGAGTTGTATTATCTATATTTCAATTTAGAATGATATGCGGATCCACCAGCGGCCGAGAGGGTATTAAGTCAATGAACGCTGGTGATTCAGTCTGGGGTTCGAATCATGGCGAACGGGCAAGCTGCATGGGCATTTTAGAGATTTTCTCATGCGTAACGTGTATATGACGCAGTTTCCTTTAGAAAGCCCTCCACGAAGGTATTCCTCACCTTAGACAAATAGCCCTCGAGTGATATGCTCTAGAACTACACGCATACAAAGAAATTTCCGCGGTTTTTAACATCTGCTACACAATTTTATCATCCTACGCTTAGGTTGTTCAAACATTTTTGATTGTGAATGGGTTCGTAATGGATTGAATGTACACAGAACCATTGACAGCTCAATAAAATTTATTTACTCAAAAGAAATACTTGACAGGTCTGGAACTTTCTGGAAAAGTACTCGTACTGATCTTCTCAGAATACATCAGAATCAGTAGCTACCAATTCGAACTACTAATAATGTTAGACACAATGCAAAGCTAAACACATCTAAGAGGCGAAACTCTCACACAGATCTCTCAATACTCCGAAGTCAGCTTTGAACTAAAAGCTGAGAATTGTTTCTCTTGTAGAACGGTTTTTTAAGACACCTGGGTACCTATGCAAACCTTACCCCGAATTGAACAATGCAAAGCTTCGAAATAGTATCTCAACTAACTTGAGATTGATTATAATAAAATTATATATATATATACATTTATACTAATATTGCTTTTTTTTCTAGTACTACAAAAAAAAAAGTATTAAAATTTGTACTAGAAATGCAGAGATTGGAAGAAGTATCAGAAAGGCGTCGAGCTAAGTACAATGAGCAATGGTGAGCAAGTGCGAAAAGTCATACTAACATTGGAAAGGGAGAATAAAAATTACATATAAAAATACACAAACATACAATACAAATAGGAAAAGAAAGCAAAGTAATAATACATTAATCTTCCATAATAATTCTAAGATTGAGAATAACCATAGGCTGTCTTATGTTTTGCGCCCATCATTATAATCGTAATTGTAAATTCGTAGTTTAGAGTTGTTACTATTTCTCATACGACAATGAAAACTGTTAGCAAGATGTTAGTAAAAGGTTCTGAGCTTGCCAATGCCATGCTCCTCATGAAGAGTGTTATTACGAATGTACCATGATGCATCTGTAATCTGTATCAGAACACTGTTCTAGGCAATTTGCAATTTTTTCGTGTAAGATTTATATGAGTATGCCCAAACCGGACAAGCATAACAGAGCATGGGCCGAAAGATGGACTTATAAATGAATAGTTTGTTACCAGTAGACAGAAAGCTGTTTCGAGCAGTTAGAGGGTAGAGTTTACGCACCCGAAACTTCTGGATAATAGATTGTATGTGTGGGAGAATTTGTGAGTATCACCTCAAGATAAGGGACTTGCTTAGCCCAGAGGAGAGTTTCTACATAGAACTCGAATACTCATTAATGATCTTTCTGATAAATAATATTGGAAGGTTTTTGTCAAACTTGTCAGATTTTTGTTGAGACAAATCTTTTCCGATGATGGTACCATTGGTTTCTGTCCCAATGGTCATACTGCAACGAACTTCACTTATACGCCCCATGATGAAAAGTCCATTACTGCCGCCACTCATTGCAAAAATATGAAGCGCTTCCTTAGGGGTTCCGCAGTTCCTTCGCAGATGACATTCACCTACGTAGTTCCAGCACTTTAGGGTCGGTTTGTTTTCGTTCCTAATCCGCTTCAAGGCATTGACTTGCCTGGTTAAATCTCTTAGACGAGCAGTCAGTTGCACTGGCTCCTAGAGATAAGCAGTTCTGGTTGGGTGATGATATATATGGGTTACTTGTTGGGCTGCCTCGAACTTTACGACGTACACTAAAGCGCCCTTTAGATCCTTGACACCTGCCATTTGCAGGGCTTTCTGTATCTTAGGATCCCGATTGCTGTCGATGAAGTACTGCAGGGACAGGATTTCCCTTGTTTCTGATGGGCAATCCATAAAAACGAGATGAGACAGTATTTCAACATTCGCGGCAACTCCTGGAGTGTTTCCGTGGTTTCCTATTGGTGAGATTTTAACCGAAGTTTGCCATAGTCGTTTAAACTCTTCTCCGTAAAATGCAGCTCCATCGCGCAGGATAAAGCTTCAAAATCTAGCTTCTGTGGTTTTCAGCCAAAGTCTGAAGTATATCCGCTACGTATACTCTCAGAGAAGCGGCGAGTTGGCAGACTTTAGTTTCGGAATTCCATTCATTTGCGTTTACCACCATAAAGAACTGAATCTTGTACAATTGTCAGGAAGTTTTTCGATCGTATGTGAATAACTTTAGATAAGGACCAGAAGACATAGTTACGAATTTAAAACCATCTGAATTGTTTCCTGCTGTAACTATGGATTTCTTCGCAGCAGAAACTCTATAATGGGTTTGTTGTTCGACAGCAAAAGCTCTTTCTTTTATTTTTTGTTTGATAGCAGAAACTCTTTCTCCGATTCGTTTTTCAACAGCAGAAACTATTTGCCCCGCCATCGCTCTTGCCATCGGCAAATGGATTGAATGCACACAGAACCAATGATAGCTTGATAAAATTTATTTACCCAAAAAGAAGCACTTTACAGGTTTGAAACTTTCCGCAAAAGTACTGGTACAGATCTTCTCAGTATAACAGAGCATAATCAGTAGTTACCACTTCAAATTACTAATAGCGTTAAACACAACGCAGTGAAAAGGCGAAGCTCTCACAGAGATCTCTTAATACTCCGAAGTCAGCTCTGAATTAAAAACTGAGTGCTGTTGTTCTCTCCGGGCTTATATAGTTTTCTCTGGGCGCTGAGAAATCTCTACTACCTTCCATTTCTCGAGACTGCTCTAAGGCAGATATGGTTACAGTTACCTATAACGATCAATAGCAGTTATTCAATTACAGTACCAATTATAGTTACACAGGGATTGGAGCATAATGCCATTTAAGTTTGGCGCCAAAAACATCGCCATCTTGGCGGTATCTCACCAATTTAGCGGGAGAGTCATTTTACCTTAATGTTAAATAGACTTGCCGCATATAGCCTTATTTTTCAGGCAGAGCTTCCCCTTTTCGAGCATTTCATGTTTCATTATGCAAAAGACATTACAGTTTCACGTATGATTTCACTTAAATTACTATTTATAGGTATACAAAATTTCGTACGAATATTATCCACATTTCCGAATAAGTTCAAATTTTTAATTTTTTAAATGGCAAAAATCAAACAACATAAAAAAAAAGACGTGATAATTTTCTGAAAATAAATAGATAATATAATAAAATAAAAATAAATACATATTTTATTTTCTTAATGTCTTAAATTTTTCTTCTATTGCATCAAAACCTCAAAGATTTTCTTCAGGCATTCTACAGATACATCCACAAACATTATCTCTCTTTTTTTATTCACTATATACCATGCTCACTTTCAAACAGCTTGTTACCTGCGACATTCTTGGCTTTGTATCTAAGCTGAGGGTTTTGAATCTTTATTTAGTAAACTTCTGACAGTCTCGTCTTGCTGTTAGTATTTTTTACCAGCTCTGTTTAAAAATTATATTCCAGCTTCAGCATTCTTGCTATCTAATGCGAAATAACTGTTGCAATTCATTGAAGATCATAACAAAATGCATAAATCACATCTGGCGATATTATTGCTTACTAGGTGTACCCGCCCGGCGTTGCCCGTGCATTTAGAAAATGCAGATAAGTGAATAGCGCAGGAATAGTAGTGTAGGACATGTAGACTGTCTCTCTCTCTTCCCCCCCACAAGCTACAAAAAAGAAATGAATTGTAATTAATCGATTTAATGTATCGTCAAAACAGCAAACTAACGCTAGAATAAAGAAATCAATTGTTACAATCGAACGTTATTTGAAAACAAATAATAATATCAGTGAGTCAAAAAAACCGTGATTAATAATTATAAATAATTTTTTTAAAATTTTTCTAATTCAAAAAATCGAAAAAATCGGGCTTCGAGGTCTGGTGGCCAGCCCCTTTGTGCTTCCGTATAAAAAATTCCAGGTCCCTGCGTGCGATAGATTTGGCTGGAGAGCTCGGTCAGACAGACAGACAGACACATTACACTTGCTTTTATTATTATAGATAATAAATATGCTGAATTTAAAAATGCTTCAATGCATAAATTCACGTATATCTTAGGAAATATTGAATAATATATAATTTTTTGCAGGACACTTATTGAACACAACAAAACATTTATGGAAAGAATACAGTTACAGGAGAGTTTGAAATCCGGGCATTTAATATCTGGACTGATGCACGTGTATATTTGGAATACGGCTCACCACTGTATACACACGTGCAATATCTCTCTTCTACCTTTAGAAAGTCTATGAAGGGAAAATATACTCAAAATAAGGTGTGCCATAAATACGATTTTTTTTCCCTGACTAATTGAGACTCCTGTATGTCACTTACAAACAACTGGTGGCTAAGGAATCAACCTGTGGCCAATGACAATACATTGATTGACATTGGCTAGAATCACACTTTTGACCCTTCAGTACATGTGAGAAGTTAACATTTTTCAATATGACCTAAACAATAAATATAATGTTGCCACGTTTAAATGCCATCTTAATAGAGTTAAACTAATGTACTACAATTCAGAAATTTCTGAAATCCGAAATCGCCAAAGTTTCGAGTATTCCGGATCTTGGACTTTGCACTGTATTACAGTACAGCAAAAGATCTAGCATAAGAGAGAAGGGCAAACATGGCAAGCTGTTGCCAATTCTTAAAAGTTAATTAGGGTTCAAATCTAACTGTTCTTTACAGAAATCGTTGACTTATTATTTAGCACACAAAATATTTTATTTGGTAGTGAAATTAGGCATTCTGGTAGCTGCCTTAATGCATATTTGACGGTTTGAGTTTAACAAGGAATAATCATTTTAGAAAATGAATTCATAATTATCAACGCCAGAGCTTATTTATGTTCTAAAAAATACTGGTCAATTTCAGAGGTGATTGCCATGACGAGTTTCTTTGTATTTTATTATTCACCATTTATTTTTAAACTTCATATATGGTTTTTGGTAAATATATGACATAATATTCGGTTTAGAAGAGCATTTAAGCATTTGACTTTAAGCATTTGAGGATTTTAATAGACTAATTAACAACTTCGTTTATAACTCAATAATTATTGTGCTACTTAATTATACCAGGAAAGTAAAATAAAAGCATTAAATAACATCACACATTTATCATATTGTAAAAAATTATTAAGTATGATATTTAAAATAAAATTTTAATTTCAGTTTAAATATTTTGTAATAGATATTAATTATTTATTTTGCCACTGAATGTCATTATCACTATTATTATTAAATGAATAAATTATATATATACCAGTAATGTGTTTCCTTCCAGCATGTTTATGATAAATCAGTATTTATACAAACATTTCAAAACCATTTAATCTTTTTTATTTCACATCTGTGGTATTATTCAAAAGTGATCATCCCAAAGTATTTCACAATAATTATATCCATCTATATTAATGAAAATGCTTAATTTCTTGATGTGAAGAGTTTCTGTTATTTTTAATGGAAATAAAGCAGTCAGTAAATATTTTACATCAAGGAACATGAATCTTATATTTGAAAAAAGGATAGATATAAATAATATACTGTATAACACTGTTGGTCAGCAATCCACAAATTAAGTTTCACTTCTGCTCAAATAATCCAAAAAACTTCTTCAGATGATGAATCAGACTCCCTTGATGCTTTCCATGTCAATAAAACTCTTCACATTTGTCAATGATTTGAATTTTAAATTGTATTTCCTATTAATCTATAAGCAGATCATTTCTTAAGCTGATTTCATGGTACCACTTGCTTTCTTTTTCGTTATTTTTCTCTTTAATTTCATTACACTGGGCATGGTTTTTAATCACTAGTATGTGCTAAAAATTGAATGACCTTTCTGTTTGTGCTTTTTATCTTTTATTTGGCTGCAGCTGAAGAAGGCGACAGTATTAAATAGCTAAAACAAAATTGATATAAAATCATTTTTTATCTGCATTTATTAAATCTGCCGTTTGTCTGTTTATTCCATGTCAGTAGATATCATGTTTGAAAATGATTTAGGACTAGATTCAAAAATATTATGTAAATATAAAATTTTAATTTAAATTATAATTTAGCAACATAGTGCATCTATAAAACATTAAAAGAAACATAAAAATAACATGTTACGTACATATATATAATGTAATGTATACACGTACATGTACTTAAATTGTGGACATGTACACACACAATTTAAAGAAACTAAATACATATAGAATCTTTACAATTTTTAGAAAATTTAATCTTAAATCCATTACATTTTCTTACATGCTATGCTGTTCTTATAAAAGTTACTAAACTTATTTCAGGAAATACCCATCAAATTAACATACATATCAAATGACAAAATAAAAAAAATAAAAATATGACACATAAAAAGTATACACAAAAACTCAGTAGTTACCAACTTATAAACTACTTACATTGCTAATGTGGGGAAAATATTTTTCAAAATAATGAATTCTCAAAGATATATTTACATAATAGTCATTTTCTATTATATAATACATTTGATTTATTTACATGATTATGCATAATTAGAGATGCTTGAAATTTATCATTTAAGAACATTTATCTCTGAATCACGGGCTCTTGTAATAAAATCTCATTCAATACAGCTAATGTTTCTTTAACACATTTTTTACTTTTAGTATAATCTGTCTGAGCTTTCTTTGAGGCTACAAATTCTTGCATTGCAAAATTATTCTGTTCCAAATGTTGCCAACGACGTTCTAAATTACATAACTGTGTAAAAGTCTCATTGTCATTCAGCTTATTTTTTTGAGTTTCATAGTGCATATTTAGTTCACCAACAACCTGAAAAAAATATATGTATATATAAAATCAACTCAATGAGATGAAATAATTCATATTCAATAACTACAGTGAAGTAATGCAAGAAATTTGGGAAGTAATAATAATGTAGTGCAATTTTGTATTTCAAATTTAGGTGAAAATTTGACCATAAATGAGTGCCTTTCTCAATCACTGAAAAAAAGTAATCCAAACTATTCATAAGATAATCCTACTTCCTTTATTTGCAAAACCACAACATATGGAACAATATTTCCTTATAATACTGGTTTCCATTAGGAAGCATTTTAGCATCTTAGCATTTTATTTATAAAATTTTAAGTTAAAGTCTGATGACAGAAGCAGTAGCATATTTAATCTATTACCTACACAGTATAAAAAAGCATAATTTTGCAAAAGGGGTGAAGAATGCCGATTTTGTTGCATACAAGTTAAATACCAAATCTTATGTTAATTAAAAAAAAATCACATAACTGTTATCATTCATAAATTTAAAAGTTTCTGAAAAATTAAAAAATTAATAATTTCTTCATCTAGAGGTATCCTACAAATGTGAAATTAATGTTAAAAAAAGGCTTAATATCACTTGAAACTGCATAAAAAAATTGTTAAAAATAAATGAAAACAAAGATCAGTTGAAACATCAAAGCATTTTGACATCTTGATGAACTGAAATTTCAAGCTTTAAAAATGTTCCAAGAACTAGATACTTATTTCTGTAAAAATGCAAAATACATATATAGGTAATAAAATGGCACTGAAATTGATTTTTTGATAAAATTTTGATATTAAATAAGATTTATAGCAATGCATTATAATAAGTAACACATAGAAAAAAGTTAAGCAGTTCAATTAGAAAGCTACATAGTAATATTTTTATTTTTTAAAATTAATACGTAAATGGTTATATTATTAGCAATATATGAAAAGAAAAGGAAAAAAAAAAAAAACTGATAAAAGTGCTTATACCAGAACATAAAAAGCAGACTATCTATTCAATGCTTTCTATTCAAACAGCTTTTCAATACAAGGAGTGCTCCGAATAATTAAACCAGGGTTAAACAGGAGGGCTAGCTCATTCCTTTGCGTGACTCCCTGCTGAGGCAATCCTCATAGGGGAACTAATAGGAAGTAGTCCGACATCACTCTGTTGCATCTGCTCTGATTTCACCTGTTTAAAACTAGCAATGTGGACATTCCAAATTAATTTTAATCAAATATATTGCTTTTTAGTAAAGAATTGTGACACTGGTAGCCCTCAAAGTAATTTTATGCTGCATGCAAATACATTTTCTGTAAATTATTTAGCATTATTATGACAAGAATTTGAAGGAAAAGTCTAAGGTTTGAATAGTTTCGAGTCCAGTTTTACATTATATTCATTGCCAAAAATAATTGTAACTCTTCAAAAAATTTCAAAATATAGCTAATTAACTTACACTGTGATATAAATCCTGTTCAAAGATTTTAAGATACAAATTTGATTAAGTTTTAAATTAAAAAGCCTAATAAACAAAACAAACTGGTATTATAAAAATAAAAATTAATAAGGCTAATAAACAAAACAAACTGGCAATGAGTATTTACATACTCATTTGCCAGTTTGTTTTGTTTATTAGGCATTGTGATGATACATTCTGGTCATTTTCTTCAAGATTACAAACTTTAATGAAAATCAAAATGTCATGAGGTGGTGTACAAAAAAAAAAAAAAAAAAAGTGTAGTATGAAACAAAGATATTTACAACAATTTATATAAAAATATTATTTTTTCTGTTTTGCATCATAGAAAAATCTGATAAATAACAAAGAAAATAGGTTTTCATTATTTATTCTCAAGTTTTGTCCCCCCTTGGGAAGCTTTGGTATATTTCTTTTTAATTTAAATTAAAAGTAAGTTACTTAGTAGTTCAATTTAATACAATTAGTTCAATAAATGACTAAAGTTGCTTTAAATATTTTAATATTTAGCTGTCTGTTTGAGTTCCAAATTGTGACCAACAGAAATTTTTTGTAGATACCAACTATTAGATTTCAAGCAAAATACAAGTATAAATTTAATATTTTTTTTTGCATTATTTTTATTCGTATGTTTTTACAAATATGTAGTAAAAAGTTTTTAATTTAATTAACAAATTTTATTTTGTTAAAAAAAAATCAGGCTTGTAGTAAATAGTAGTTGGTTGGTTGGTGCCGTGTCTTTTGAGAAGTCAAATGGATCCATGTGTGGAAATTACAGCTTTTGCTAGCTCCACAATCTTTTCATTATATAGCTGTCATTGGAAAAGAAATTTCCCCAGGCTTTGCAGAGCTGCAAGTATTGCCAGACAGGTGAAGATGTGTTCTGGAGAAAGCTCTATTTCAGGGCAGTTTCTAAAAGTTCTATATGATCTGGTACCAATTTCATTCCCCTAAAATGGCAGGTTCTCAATCTAGTAATGGTCTTTGTGTAATTTCTCTGTTTGCACCAATCTCATATATCTGATGGTCTTTCTTAATAAATTTCTCTTTGATTCTATATCTGACAGCATTAGCACCTTCAAGAGTAACGGGGATCAAATTGTTGAGATTTCTTGCCTTTTTAGCCAGTTCATCGGCTGCCTCGTTTCCATCGATTTTAACACGTGCAGGTATGCATTGCATAATGCATGTTTCTAGGTGTTGGTGTACATCCTGGGTGAGTCTTGAATGTCCTTGCAGTATCGCTTCTAGGCCAGATTTAGAGTCACAGTAAATTACAAGTCCTCTGACTTTATCATTTAAGTCGATGTAAATTCTCAGGGCTTCCTGAATTGCTCTTAATTCACACGTGAAGTTGGAAGCAATGTTGCCTGCTCCATGGCTTTGGAGTACAGTTGTCCCTTTTGGTAGAGTGATGTGAATACTGGCTCCACCCTGTTGGACCCAAAAAGGACACAATTACTCGAGTACCTTTTGCCTTGATAACAGCTTTAGTTTCCTTTTTTGTACAATGTTCCATCAGATCGAGATTTATTTTGGTGTGAATGGGAATGTAAGGCAGGTTAGACTCTTAAAGGACAGTACAGGTGTTATGTTTGATAGCAATATTTTGTCTGATCTCAATGTCATAGTTTACAGTAGATGGCTTCTTAAGTCTTCACCTGTTGTTCCAGTTTCCAAAAGTACTTCTGGAGATATGCCCCCATGTCTTGGCTCTAATAGTGGTTTATTTAGTTTTAGTAGTTAAACAGTAGTTTATTTTTCTTATACAACTAATGCAAGGATCAACACGAGATAAAAATCTAACCCTAAATATCATATTATTAATTCATTAAATTCAAATAGGGTTCTCATATATGCTTTGTTTCTTCTAGCGCAAGTTACAATTAAAAATGCATATATAATGCCATTCAGTAAGGGCTGAAGTGCATCATCAAAATAGTATTACTAATGCTTTCATCTTTTCAGCTGTTCTGATAGTCCTTATCTATTTTAAAAGTAACTTTGGTACAAACTACTTTAAAAGTAGTAAGTTGCAGAAATGGCATACAGTTTGAAACTATTTAAAACTACTAACGTATAATTTAAAAATGAAGCTTGTAAAAATGTGAAAAATGTTAAAAAGCATGTTGTAGCATGATTGTTGAAACAATCATGAAAGCTGGAATGTTATTTCAAAAATAAAATGATTCTTTGCCAAGTTGTACACCATATTCAAGAATCTTAAAAGCCTAAAATGTGGCTAGCAGCACAGCAAATAATTTTAAAGTTTGCAAGATACAATTTGGCCACACCTATTATGTACATTAATTCAGCAATTTATGCAGACATATGTACTTTATTATGCATTAAATTACAACATTAGATTTGCAGTAGTCTGTACATGTATGCTACACAGTTTGTTGATAACTCCTAGAGCTGAAGAATTATCTTATGAAATCTGTCAAACTTAATAATATGTTGGCAAAATTTATTCAAAGATCACAAATTTGGCAACTTTTGTACTCAGGATGTTAAAAAATTTTGGAAATTATATTTTTCTCTCATAAGACAGCCAGTAAATAGTAACTAGAGTTAGTGAGGGCTTTAGATCCTTCATTTAGGGAAAATGTTAATGATCTAAGGGGATTGTTAACATTGTATCTGTACACTATCTATTTTCAAGTGCTCTATGTTTCTATATCTTAGAACTGAATTTATGTATGTTTCACAAAAGAATTTTTATAATAACAATATAGAATAACAATATGGACACAACCAGTTATTCCTTTTCATTGACTGCACTAGGTAAAATCATTTTGCAACTTCAATGAGACTTACCCATTGAAATATATACAGTCAAAAGTCGTTAATTCGGACATCCATAATTCGGAATGATCTATAATCCGGACCTCAAAGCTAAAAACTTTCTGCGCATGCGCCTGTTTGACACATGCGCATAGGCGTTTACGCGTGCGCGTAAGACCTCTTACGACTGCGCATTTGCGTGTGCGCAAGCGCAAAATACGTTTTCGAGTGCGCGTTATATTTATAACGGACGGTGTAAGGTAAAATTATCTAATTATCTATTTCAGTTAATGTTGATGATTGCGTTGTTCCTTAATTTTCGAATTGGATCCGGCTTATTATTTTTTTGCAGACTGTAAGAGCATTATTATAAAAGTAAACTTGAACTTTCGATTATGTCAAATAGAATTTTTGATTCTGGAGCTCCCAAAGGATCGTACAAAACGAAAGTATGTTTCGATGTCCATCAAACAAAAAGTTGAATTGCTGCAAAAAATGGATAAAGACATGAAGAATGTGACAGAGAGTTTAGTGAAAACGAAAAAATTTCGATTGACAGGTTAGTCGGTATTCTCGGCACAGCAATTAACGGGACTTGAACAGCGGAACTTTGTAAGTGAACAAGAAATTATGTCTGTTTATAGAATTAATAGAAAGTATTATCACCTAAAACGAAGCAACTTAAACAACTTACATTGAAAGAAATGTTTAATAAAAGTAAACAAATAAATATTAAGCTTTTTTTTTTTTTTTTGTAAATTTTGATACCCTTTAGATCATAATTGTTCTTTATTTCATAAATTACGGTTTCATATTTTTAATTTTAGAATTTCTGCATACCATCTTACGCGATTTAAACTGATGATCTATAATCCGGAAAAATCGATAATCCGGAATCGCCGAAGTCCCGACGAGTCCGGATTAACGACTTTTGACTGTATTCAGAAAAGGTATAAATTCTAAAATCAAATACTTGCTAGTGCAAAAGTATACCTGCCAAATAGGTGCCATATTAATTCTTAAGATATAAAAAATTTACTTTGGAAGAAGTTATGATATAATTACCTGTTTTGTAGCGTCCTTCTGTTTTCCTAGTATTCCTTCTTCTTCAATCAATTTACTTTTCTTTTCTTCTGCGGCTTTTTTCAGACTGTCAAGATCTGAATACACTTGCATTTCTTTTTCCATTGTTGTTATTTTCTGCTGCAGAGTTTCTAACTCTTGTTGAATTTTTGTTTCTAGCTGTTCTATCTGAAAACATAGTTAATAGTGTAATTCCAAATATAAATGGAAAACAAAACTTTTTTATTTAATACTTTTTAAAATAAAGAAAACCCATTCATTTTATTAAAAGTGGGATTTTAGACAAAAGAATTTTGTAAAATTTGGCTCAATAATTTACCTCAAATCCAAGAATGCATTCTTTAGAAAACAGCTGCACTAATAATTAGTATGTGCATAGTTTAAATAAGTAAAAATTGCATTCACCCAAACATACCTTTGTTAAGTCCAAAGCAAGCTTCTTTTGTTCATTACTGAGTGCCATAACAGTCATTCTTGACTTTTCCATTTCTCCTTCTTTAAATCTGTTGTAATAATTATTTTATTGTTATGCATATTAATAAATTTTACTATTATTTATTTTTAAAAATTGAGAATTTTGAAATTAACTAAACAGATATTGCTTGTACTATTGAACACTACTTCTAATCCTATCAAAAGATACATTTTCAGTGCAACTTTTAATAAAACCTGAGCATCAAAAAAAATAAAAATATCCTGGCAGCAAATAAAAATACATACCCCCTCCCCTCATGCATCAAGCCTTCAGCTATACCAACCATGAACCTTCTTGCAGTCCTGTTGCATCTGTTGCAACAGGAATCTTGCAAATCTGTTGCATCTATCCCAATATATAAGACTTCTAATTGTTGTACAAATATAGTGTATACAAAGGCTCTATGACCTATTCAAGATATATCAAAAACGAAGTCCAACATTAAGAATCCGTGTAAATTTAAAAAATTATTTTGCAGTATTAGTTTCGATAGATTTTTATCTAACTATCGAAGTCAAAAATTATAGAAACTAGTACTGCAAAAAATTGTTTTTAATTTATGCTGATTCTTAATGTTGGACTTTGTTTTTGATTGTTATTCACAGTGATATTTAAACTAAATTATTCAAGAAATATTTAACTTTGCAATCGTTTTTAAACATCTTATTTAGAGTCTGTCAGAAAAAAAAAAAGTGTCAACACACCTTTAATAGATGATATCTGGGGCTATTTGATGATATCTGGGGGTATTTTGAATTGTATTCAGTGATGATAGCAGTGTGCAATGGTTTCTCTTAACCCGCGAGAACGCGCATTGGGTCTTACGGGCCCAAGCAAATATTCAGTGGGTTGAGAAACCTCTCCCCTTTCATGAAAATGGTTGAGTCTATCAGTACCTGCTTCCAAGGTCATCCCCTTTTTAGTGTAGAAGGTCATATTTCCTGAAGCCGTCTTTAGCTAGGAACTGAACCTATGGGCCTGAAAGACCCCATGCGCGTTCTTGCATTCGTGTTTTTTTTAATAACGCTTGTATAAGAATTTAAAACATGCATTGTTATTTAAGCTATAAAGATGAAATGAAACGCCTTCAAACATTACTTGCCAAAGTATCAACAGATGAAGAATCAATAAATGGAGATGATGATGAAGAAAGTATTGCTGAAGAGCAATTTAGTACTCATGAAACTTCATCAGAAGAAGAATTTGATTCAGATAATGTAATAGATGCATCCAGTTTAGGCGAATTTTATACTGGAAAAGATGGAATTACAAAATGGAATTAAAAAAAGCCAAAACAAAATATAAAAACACTTTCACATAATATTATCACTAAATTACTTGGAAATGTTGGTGATGCCAGAACTGTATCGCCCCCTACAGACTCTTGGTTACTACTGTTCGATAATATCATATTAGAGCGCACTGTTGATTGCACGAACATTTATATGGAAAAGATTGTGGATAATTTTCAAATACCGTGACTGCAAAAACACTAATTTAATCGAAATAAAAGTCTTTATCAGTCTTCTTTACCTTTGTGGAGTACCTAAATCTTCCCACGTTAATGTGAAAGATATTTGGGCCACTGATGGCACAGGATTGGAAATTTTCTACCGGACTATGTCTTATAAGAGATTTTTATTTCTGTTATGTTGTCTAAGATTCGATGATTTTAAAGATCGTATGAAGAGGAAAGAACTTGATAAACTTGCTCCTGTAAGATGTGTTTGATTTATTTGTAAATAACTGTTACGAAGTTATACAAGCTTGGTGAGTATGTCACGATCAATGAAAAATTAGAACCTTTTAGAGGCAGATGTCCTTTCAGGCAATATATTCCAGTAAGCCTGCAAAGTACGGAATTAAAATGTTTGCTCTAGTTGATTCACAGACCTTTCATATCTGGAATTAAAAAAAATATGCAAGGATGCAACCTGAAGATCCCTACAAACTGGAAACAGTGCGGACAAAGTTGTTATGAGACTTGTCGCACCTATTTTTAACACGGGAAGAAACCTCACTGTTGATAACTGGTATATGAGTGTTGGTCAGGCTAAAGACTTTCTAGGTAAAAAAATTACTCTTGTTGGAACAATAAGAAAAAAATAAAAGAGAAATACCAAAGGAATTCACTTGCTCCAGAAAACGAGAATTCCACTCAATGCTCTTTGGATTTCAGAAATATATGATTTTAGTGCCATATACTCCCAAAAAGAATAAATGTGTGCTTTAATTATCAACTATGCATAATGATGATGCTATAGATCCTTCATCTGCTGATGCCAAAAAAAACCTGAAATTATTACTTTTTATAACCTGACGAAAGGTGCAGTGGATGTAGTAGATGAAATGTCGGCATTATATTCTACATCTAGAATTACCATTTCTGGTCGTTTTTTTTAGTATGTTAAATACAGCTGCTATCAATGCTCGCATCCTGTTATTGTCAACCGATAAACCTGAAGAAAAGTACCATAAAAGGAGACTCTTTTTGAAGGATCTTGCGTTAGAACTCCTAAAGAAGCACAATGAAAACAGAAGAATCCAACCTAATATTTCCAGGAGTTTGCAAATGGAATTAAACAGAACACAGCCTGAAAAAGTTGAGGACTCTCCTTGTAAAAAATTAAAAGCTGCTGCAAGGAAAAGATGCCATTTATGTCCCGCTGTGAAGGACAGAAAATCTAAAACATCATGCACAAAATGTGGAAAAATGTTTGTGGTGAGCATAGGATCATTAATTTAGTTACCTTCTTCAACTATTCAATTATCTTACCTTATTCTGTTATCTTATTCAACATTATATGTGATACATTAAGATTTAACAAGATTTTTCTAGGTATTAATTCATAGTTTTCAACTATATAACTTCTCTTGATTTTTATGAATCGTGGTATAAAATATATATTACTGGTTCAATAATAAGTCACACGAATTAAAGAAAAGTGCGCACGGACCTATTGGACCCAACACGCGTTCTCATGTTACTATTAGGACACGCGTGCTACCAAGTTAAAAGTAACAGCACTTTTTAAGCGTTATTACTTACATAATAATAAAAATAAACATGTGACATAAGGCAGTGAATTAAAATACTTGGTGCATGGTTGTCATTTGAGGAGGTTGACATTTTAAAATGTTATTTCAAATCTGAGGATACTGCTGAAGTGCAACATAAATGGAGATATGAATTTGCACATTTTTGTTATAAATTTGACTCATGTGGGATGGTTTGCAATGTGCACATGGGAAGACCCAACAGACCTTGCACAGCAACAAGTTCAGCTATAGTGATGGAAAAGTTTTCAATTTCACCACAAAAATCTGCCATGTAGTATGCATGTGGAATAGGAATTAACAGCAGAAAGTACAGTTCACCAGGAGCAGAATTTGCAAGGATGCTAGATATGATAAGATGAGTTTCCACCACATTCAACTGATTTATGGGGATAGATATGAGATGTCATATATTGCAGAAAACTAGCTATATTTGTAGACCTATTGGAGAAATTTAAAAGGTATGACCATGGTCGACGTAGCATGAGTAATGGTTTGCTGGTGTACTGTAGTCTATAAAAGTCTGGCAGATGCAGTTAATGATACAAAAATTAATTTAGTATGAATAGAACATACAGAATTTTCATTTGTTAACATGTGTATACACTTTTATGATGGACTCTGTATATATGGATGCTTAAAATCCAAAACAGGTGAATTTTAAAAATTAAAATCAATCCAGTAACTGTTAGGAAATTATTACTTACTGCAAATCATCTTTAAGCATAGCAAGCTCTTGTGGAGTTGGTATATGTTGAAAATGACCAAGATTGCGACTAAGTTTTTCAAGCAATGAGACAATGGTGGCTTCCAATTGGCCTTTTTTCTCCATTCCAGAACTTTGATTTTCATCAAACGTAGCAAGGAAACTATCCATAGTTTCTTCACGTTTCTTGAGTTCTCGGTATTTACTGAGTCTTTCACCTTGGTGATCTTCCATTTCTAAATCAAGCTGCTCAAGTTCATTTTTTGCTCGAGTAATTTGTTCTCTGATTTCTGCAGTCTGCCTTTCAATACTAGTTATCTCTGTATTATGTTCCTTCACCTGAAAATTTAGAAGATTAGTATTCCAGCAGATCACTAAAGCATTAACAGAGCTATAACCCAAAAGAAAACAAAAGATGCCTATTTACAGAAACCAGTTTATCACAACTCTTGTTGGAAAAATTCATAGTTGCATTGGAGAGTTATTAGGTTCTTTTGAAGCAGAAATCATGAAAAATGAGCAATCCCTTCGATGAATCGAACCTGAACCTCTCGAATATGTGCCAAGTGTGCTACCGCTACATCATGAAGGCATGCAGAAAGGTTGGAGAAAATATCTTATAAGTGTGGTTTCTTCATCTACCTTAAAAGTCTGGCTAAAATTTCTTGCTGCTATTTGATAAGGATCATTTGCTACTTTTTATGAAAACAGAAAAAGACATGAAAATAATAATAATAATAATAATAATAATAATCTATCAAAATGCATAAAATAAGTTATACATTGTGGCCACAAAAGCACTTATGCACCCTTAATTTTCACAACCATTGGTCATAGACATATACTTTCAATTACAAAAATGCTTTCCAGGATGAAATATTCATGTGCTGGCATTTTTAAATTAAAAAAAAAATTCAATTTTATTACAATTATAAAATTTAACATATTATATGATCACTGGTCTTTATAGCCATGTTTGGGAAATTTTTACAGTCATAATCTCTACTATTATGTAATGAAGAATCTGTATATTATGTTCCTCAGACTGGAAAAATGGTGGCACTTAGAGCTATTGAATTTTGTCCACAAAACACATAGTTCTTCACCAAACATGTGTACCTTGAAGCCTGAATTTTGAATTTTTATTTATTTATCTCATATATGTATGAATTTAATGAATGTTTGATCAATAAACTCAACTATTTAAAAGTGAAGATTGGCAATACTGCCCCAAATAAGATATTTTTAACTCTATCATGCCAGACTGTTGCCATTTGGCATAATATAAGATATTTATCTTTTAATTTTAATCAACAAACTTGGCTATTTAGAAGCACTATGTTACCACTGTCCAAAATAAAATACACTGGTGAAATAAATTAAGAGAATTTGCATATTTTTATTGAATTGCATGAAAAGAACTGAACTGAAGGAAAACCCACTGCTTCTAGATGAAAATGCAAATCTTGTACAGCAAATATGTAAGCGTACATGTGTGTGTAGGCGGAGACAGCAGAAAACAGGCTTTATAAGCGCGTGGAGGATAAGACGAATTGCGTTCTCTAGCACACCTTGGCAAATTTCTTGGTGTTATCTTGCAGCAATCGGTTAAATTCACATCGGAACAGTAAAAATGAGTAATCGCCAATGTTTAGATGATGGAATGAGGTGGCGAATTGCCGGGAGGCTAGAGTCAGACCAATCGCAAGTCTATATGTACAGAGAGTTAATTTAAACGTCCAGCGTCGTATATAACCTATGGAAACAGTTCCAGGATACTGGATCCATCAAGACAAAGCCTGGGCAAGGTCATCCAAGAGCTACAACGGTCAGAGAAGATCACTATTTGTCCATTTTAGCAAGGCATAATAGAAGGGCTACAGATTCTCAGCTCTCTCGGGACCTGTATGCAGCCACAAGAGCCCATGTAACAAGAGTGACTGTTTCCAAAACTGAATGAGAGAGGGTTGTTTGCCAGAAGACCGGCTGTTTGCGTCCCATTCACGTCTACGGACAGGAGAGTCCAATTAGCATGGTGCAGGCAGCACAGTGATTAGAGTACGGAGCAATGGGTGACTGTTCTGTTCATTGATGAGTCCTGTTTTAGCCTAATCACCGATTCTTGTTGTATTTTCATATAGAGAGAGCCAGGGACCTGCTACCTACCCTCCAATGTCTGCAAAATCAACAATTATGGCGGTGTAATAGTCTGGGCAGGCATCATGTTGGATGGCTCTCCACATCTTTGAGAGAGGTTCTCTGAATAGAGGTATAGGGATGAGGTCTTGGAGTCCTATGTTCGCCTTTTCCGGGGTGCAGTGGGCCCGAGTTCATCTTACAGGACAATAATGCGAGTCCCCATAGAGCTCTTCTGGCCTACGAATATCTCGAGAGTGAGGATATTCGCAGGATGGATTGGCCAGCTGGGTCTCCAGACCTCAACCCTATAGAGCATGTCTCGGACGCTCTGTAGAAGGAAATTGCAACTTGCAACCCCCAGCATTGCTGAATGAGTGGGACCAATTGCCATAGGCACTGTTAAAAACTGCCTTATTTCCAGTATGATATCATGCTGAGAGGTTTGCATGGCTGCAAGAGGGAACCCATACCCCCTATTAATCCATTTCTTTTGTGTTTTCTGCAACCACTGTTTCAGACTTTCAGACTCCCATGAGTGTTACACACGAACATGTGTGTCTATTATAACTATTGAATGTTTATTTTATTTGCATTATATGCTATATTATTTATTTGCATTATATATATTAATTTATAATGCATATATTAATTTGCATTATATATATTAATGCTATGTTCACACTAAATTTTATTAAAATCTGTCCAGTAGTTCTGGAGATCGTAGATCGAATATGAAAATTCTCTTAATTTATTTCACCAGTGTATTTCTGTCTTCCATAGGCCAGCATGCTGTTGTTTAGTAAACCATTGGTTAATTCAGATTTAATCTGTTTGTTATTGATTAACTAATCAAGAGATTTAAAAGCAATAAATGTAGTTCTTAAGAATATTTTTTCTTTTTTTAATTTGATTCATTTAAATAAAAGAACATTTAAATCACAAGATATCTGATTAGACATATTACATATTTTTATGAAATGACATTAGTTGGATTCATTAAAATTATATATTTTTCTTTTTTTATAATTATTATTTTAGGCAGCTAACAATACAAATTATGTTGAAAAGTAAAACACAAAAAATTTCACTTCCATACAACACAAATTTACCGAGCCATTTAATTTTTAAATTTAGGACTTTTGATATTACTTTTTATTTGCCTTGAGGGGCTGGTTAATTCACAAATTAAAATAATTTAAGATTGATTTTCCTCTTTTAATGTCATTCTTCTGTGAATACTGTATAATATTCTTTAATTTACAATTTTATTACAGCTGGTAAAGCCGAAAAGAATATTCATTCACACAAGTAATTTATAAATTTTCAGATGCTAACATTATTATTCTCCTGAAATTTTATTGCTTTAGAATTATAATATAATGATCATTAGAATTATAATATAATGATCATACAAAACATTCATTAAATTAGAAACACTTTTCAGATTAAATTTATCTAAATAATATTACAAGTAGGCTTCTACTGGTGTTCCCTAGAATATGAATTATATAGGATTTTGTGAATAAAACCTCTTTTATGAAAGCATTTACATTCATTAATACTTTTCATAACATTTGCACAGGAATGCTTGTCATTTATCTAACATCAAAAAGTTTTTATAAAATATTTTAATTTTAGTTACATACAAATATAAGTATCTGACTTGTCAATTTGTATACAGCCTCTTAATTTCATCTCAAATCTTAAAATTAAATATCTTGATTAATTTTTGTCATACAGAAATCATACTTATTGTACTTTATTTTTGAAATGATATCAAATTTTCCTAAATATAATTATAGGGACTGAAAGAAAAAAATAAGATTTTGGAACTTTTATAAAATTGATTAAAAAAGTTTAAATGCAAAACATGAATATTTGCATCACTTAAAACACTTTTAGATACTTGTTTAGTATCCTGTCAACCATATACATTGGTAGAAATCCTGCCAAAGTCACAAGAATTGCTCAGATGGAATTCTGAGCCACACTTCAACCTGTAACTCTTACAGTAAAACATCTGTCAGTCTTCCTGTACAGCCCATTGGATAGCCACTGCTGCAAAAGCATTCAACCCACTTCATTTTTCCACTTTGTAAAAATGTGTTCATTTATTTTCTACTACTTGTATTTTGTTTGGCACTTCAATTTTAGCAGAAGCTCTTTGTAGAATGCTATGAGTAGAAACTTCCTGCAGGTGATGGTTCCAGTCTATTACTGTTTTGATGACCATGTTAAATTTTTCTTTTACCTCTTTAAGAGATGTTAATCTTCTAAACTAACTGTAAATAAACCAGACTACAGGCACAAATGTGGTTTTAGAGTGCTTGAAGATACCTCTTTTCCCCCAAAATGCAAGAAAGAAATATAGCAATAACAGGTGATGGTTTCAGTCTATTACTGTTTTGTTGACCATGTCCAACTCTTCTTTCACCCCTTTAACAGATGTTAATTTTCTAAACTAACTGTGAATAAACCAGACTGCAGGTACAAATGTGGTTTTACAGTGCTTGAAAATACCCCCCCCTTTTTTTTCCAAAATACAAGTAAGAAATATAGTAATAACAGTTAATTTACAACCTCGGTTTATAAAAACAAAAGGTGACTCATCAAGAATCAATTGGGTCTACATCAAATGAAAATGCAGATATTATGAGTTTGTTGTAATGTCATGCTTAACCATAATTGGTGCTAAATTAAAATGCTTGGCAACAGTTTCACAGTCAATGGGAAACTAAGTAAATACCCAATTTTATAACTGGAAATATACATTAAAGATTAATGCTTGTGTAAATTTAATGTAAAGATTTTTGTGAATGTGGTATATATGGTACAGCAGTTAAGAGAGAGACAGTAATTTTTATTTTTAGTTGACAGTAAAAAGATACAAAATATGAATGCCCTTTTCACTTTTCCAGTAATTAAGAACAGTAAAAGATTGCAATATCAAATTTGAATATAAAATAACTTCACACAAACAGAACACCAAACATAAGATTTTGTTTTCTTTTAATTTGAGGGAAAGAAAAATTTCCAAAAATTAAATTAACAACCGAAAAAAAGAAACAGGGGCAATAACAATACTATTTCAGAGATCCTATGAGTTGGATATACTTATATGGATTTGAGATACCAGGTTGGATAAATATATAATTCCTTCAGGATTCTATTTACAAAACTGGAGGCCTGGGGAAAAAATATTACAAAGGCAAGGTCAGTTTTAGACTTGATGAGACCCCTAAGCTATTTGAGATATGGAGCCCTTTGTGCAATGGATATGGGAAATTTTTTTAATATGGGATATGGTACATTTTTTGGGAGGCCCCAAGAAAATGGAAGCCCTAAGCTGCAGCTTTTGTAGCTTATTAGCTTATACACAAACACAGTACTACTACTCATTCTTATTTTTTCAATATGTTAGATGTCAGTGATAAAAATTATATTTCATGCAATTTTTATCACTGACCAAGTATGCTTCACACAAAGTACATTTTGTGAAATAGCTTCACAATTCAACATTTTTCATTCAAGTTATTTAAATAAAATGTGCATCTCATAGTTTTGTACTTTTATTTTCATGGTGACTATTCAGTATATATTGTATAGAATTTGCATTTTATATTTACATATTTTAAACAAGAGTTTTATTTTCCCTACCACCCCTAAAAGAAATTGGAAAAAAAAAAAAAAAGAGAAGAGCCTAATGAATTCTTATTGATTTTATTGTAAACCTTAATTAAATTATAGAAATTTGACTAAATATAATTAAATGGTCTGTTTAACAACTTACATTATTGATTATATTGACATCCTTTGCAAAAATTTGCAAATAAGCTAAGCACAAAAAAATTATGTGACATAAAACCAAGATTCCTTTTCAAATAATTAATTATACAGTGATATTATTTCTCATTAATCATCTTATAAACAAAAGCAATCAAAAGTAGAATAATGATGGACTATAGAATTTATCAGGCAATAAGTTAAGTTTGTTTCCCACTTGAATTTTAATGATACTAATAAGAAAAATATAAACATACCTATTTGAATTAATCTTTAAATTGAGAAAAATCTATCATAAGATTTATGCTATATTAACAGAAGAAAGTATACTAACCTGTTGCACTAAATTTTCTCTTTCCTCTGCAGGTGTACCTTTAGTTTTCTCTTCTAAAATTAGGGCATCTCGTTTCTCTTCAACTTCTCTGAGTTTATTATAAAGATTAGAAGCTTCTAGTTTTATCTATTAAATTGTGAAAAAGATGATGAATTATGATAAGAATGTAGCAAATTAGAGATATACATATAATAGTGATTTGAATATTAAGAATTATAACAATTAAAACATTATGATAACACATTACTTTGCAAAATTTAAAAGTAAATCCAGTAAAAATATTTATGCAATCAAACTTTGGCAGTAAATTGCTGTTAACATATATTAAAATGTGATATATTAAATGGAGTTACTTCTAAAACAGAGTTAAAAGAAATTGTAGTTTAACACTTTCTTGTTAAAATTATTTTAGAGAAGAAGATAAATATTTTATTTATGTGCACACCATTTCTGTTTAATTTTAAAATAGCTTTGATTTGATTTTGGCTATGCAAACTAATTTTAAAAGGTTTCCAAAACTAGAATTCTTCTAACTTTTGCTCATCTAAACCATTAGGTTAATAAATGCTTTCAATTAGTCAAAGTTCAACAGCTGAATTTCTTTAATTTGATTTATCTTAGTAATGTTTAAAGATGGTCTTAGTAGATGGCAACAAAATCAACTTCTGTTCAGGATGGCTGTCCATAAATATTGCTTCTGCTCGAATTTCTCTTTAATGTTTAAGTATTATTTTCCCTTATATAATCATTTTTATAAATTTTATATGTTCAGTAGTAAAAAAATTCATACACAATTCAATAAAACATTAAAAATGTAAAAAATATAAGGAAATTTAATTAGTTTTCCACCAAATTAGATTCACAGTTTAAATAAAAAGAAAAAAATCATCAAAATCCTGAAATCTCACATGTTTACAGCTCTAAGTTTATTTCTAAAATTATCCGATTTGTAACATTAGCTAAAACAACAAAAAATAAGACTATCTGTGCCCCCAAAAGTAATGAACTTTCAAGAAGAGACGATGTTTTTAAAATGTGAACTAGATATCATTCTTTAAAATGTAATTGCTTGAAACTGCTTAGGATACATTGGAAAGAAATAGAATGATCAAATTCAGGTTCTGGCATTGTTTAGTAACACATCAAAGCTATCAGGTGAATAGCTTTCAGGAACTCAATGGTTTTACTATAAAAGAAAATAACTGCAGAATACAAGTAACTTAGCAAACATAATTCCCACTTAAATAACAGCACAAAAAACACAGTAAGTTACATAGATAAGTTTTACTTTGAAAAGTAAGTGATTTGATGGTATTCCATATATATTATTATAAAATACCACAAAAACAATTTATAAATTGTTTCTGACTCAGTGTAAATACACGTTTTATAAATCAATAAAACATCTTCAGATATTCGAAGCTTTGTTTAAAAAAAAAAAACTGACTATTAAAAAAATAATAAAGTATTCCTCACAGACATATATATAAAGAAACTACTTTTCATCAGTGTAAATGTAAAACCTTCCATTACATGAACAAGCCTCTTAAACTCCAGTTTCATGTTTTTTCACTTGCTTTACTCACTTTTAGTGATGTTTCGCATTTTTAGTTAAAGTTTGCACAAGAAACCATGATTTACTGACTATGTAACACACTTCCTTATGTTAATATTCTTATCTTAAATACATATCCCATGGGAGATACAGGAATTATAGATTCTTCCAAAAATATTTTAAGGATAACTATTGCATAACTTATTAGCACTTACTGGATTCTTTCTAACTTTGTTAAATTTGTTTTTGTGAAAGCTTAGCAGATTTGTGTAAATAGCAGATAAAACATTTTATTTACTGATACTATCTGAACTGAAATGTGCACGAACCTTACTTCAGTGGTGCAAACAAATCAATTTCATGGTTGCAACAATATGTTTTATGTATGCAACATTATATTTTTTACAGCAAAATAACCAATATGTAATATAATGTGTAGATTCAAGTTCATTCTTGACAACTGCATATAATTAAAAAATAAATTTTCTGCAATGTAATAAAGAACTTTTCATTAAACAAACATGCATATTGAACTCCAAGTTATGGTCTTTCTTCTTAATTTATTATTCCAATGATACTTTGGAAAGATATTTCCTTAACATTCATGTAAATCTTTTTTAAAATATACATATATGTGATGTACCAGCTTTTGTCCGGAATAAATAGATTAGTGAAGAATCATAGATGTAGTCGTAGCTTAAATTATCAGACAATAAGTTTAAAAAACAGGATCCATTCATTATATCAGGAGAAATAGCAGTTACAAAATCATATTTCCGGAGTAAATAAAAAATAATTACTAATAACTTTTTGTATGAAGTTTACTGCATCGTTACATTAAAGAAAAGCCCTCGATATTCTTTTGAGAGTCCTTTTATAGCCTCTGGAAAGGCGGAGCTTCCAAGAAATGACGTCAGCCTCGTCAGCCAATCCAGTTCGCTTTAAATATTTCCAGAACATTCTATAACTGTATGTGTAGAAAAGGCAGGAAAAACAACTTGACTACGGAGCTGTGGATTTAATTCCACGTACTTTCAAATAAGAGACCGTTGCCATTAAAAAATGAAAAGAACATACAGTTAGAATTTTAAGCGTATTCTTGACTATGGAATTTTATTATTACATATATATAATTTTTTGTAATATTTTATTTTATGTTCAATAGTGAAAAATTTATATAGAATTAGATAAAGCAACTTATTTGAGATATGATGAATAAGATGAATTTGATGAATCTGGGGATGTTAAAAAAGTGATGGATTAAGGGGGTGGGGTTTTATTCATCACAAAAGCATGTAAATAAAAATTGTTTTTCCTCACTTCTAGAATACCTACTTCTAGGACCCTGAATTTTGACTGCATCTTACGTATTGATATAACACTGTTATGCATACATAAAATGTGTAGTCGCAATAATGAACTTCACTCTTCTTTTTCTATGAAAAAGTTGTTCTGTAGTTATGTTAATAATAAATAAAAAATAATACAATATGAATTTAAATTATTAAATTTATTATTTATTATTGTCAATAAAAATTTTAATTAGAGTAAACTTAAATTACTACCTGAGACATTGAAAGCTCCTCTTCTAAAGACATCTTTTGAGAATTTAGTAAATCTAAATCTTGTTGAAATTTTTCTAATGCTCTTTGCAACTCATTATCAGTTTTCTTTAGTTCATTGTACCTAAATTACAACTAAATTGAATCAATGAACGAAAGGTATAATATTTAGTCTAAATATTTAACACTCAGACAATTTTCTATTTTTATGATAATTTGTTATTGAAATTAATTAACAATATCTTAAATTAATTTCTCCTACTTATCAAAGCTTAAGTTCATTCTTTTAAAATTTGAATTATACTACACAATTTTTCTCTTCTCAATGCCTCTTGTTTTAGACATTCAAATCTTTTCTTACTTAAATAATATTTTAAAGAAATTTCTCCACCCCCCTTTTTTGCATATATAAATGTATAGAAAATACATACATAAAAGCTTCTCATGTAATTAAATTTGCAATTAATTCCTTGAACATGAATTAATTTCTGACACTGCATTACAAACTATGAATCTTGAATTAACTAACTGTAGTGCAGAATAATGAAAACAGAAAGAAGCAACTAAAGAGAAGTACAAGCAGATATAGAATTTAGTTTGAAACAATGTTCAAAGCTTTCAACTAGGAACTTGAATTTTAGTAATTATAATTAAGCAAGTTCTTATGCAAACTAGAAGTTACTACTTGTAAAGGTTTAAAAACAAATATTAACACATTGACTGCCCAACACGAGATAACTTCTTATTAGCACTCTTCTTCAGAGTGCTCAATACGAGTTATTTTGACTTTTCACTTTTGCGCCGCTATGAGTTACTTACACGTTAAGCACTTGTTTTAGCTGTACCAAGGCAACAAGTCAAAGCATGTCTGTATGAATCAAAGCATAGAGGGCTTCTGCGAAGAGCTTTGTCTAACAAAAGCCGACTACAAGATAATTCGTAGGACCCTTTTTTCTATAAAAAAAAAATCCCGGTAAACTTTTTAATAATTGTTATGAATCATAATTAGTATTTTTAATAATATAATATGATTAAATCGATTTGCCTTCTCGGACCGGAATCCGAAAAGTGCCGTGGCAGTCAACATGTTAAACATATTTTATAAATACAACATTCAAGCAAAATATCCAGAAAACTGTCAAAATATATTTAATTAGCAAATTGTAAAATATCCATAATTTTTAACACTTCATTATTATAATATTTTCTATTCTTAATATGATGACATACATTAAATTATAATTTTTTCCAATTTTTATGCATACATATGGAAAAACTAAGCTCTACTTACACAGAACATCAATTATCTAGATTGCTTCTTCTCTGAAACCAAGTAGAATCATGTTTGTTGTTAATTTATTTATATAATATTTTAAAATACTTCTGTTGAATTAATTATTATAACAAATAATAAAACACATATTTTTAAGGAATTCCATATTACATCTTAATTTACTATTTTTCTAAAAAAAAAAAAAAAAAAAAAAAAAAAAAAAAAAAATTTTCTCTGAGAAAAACCTTGGTGTTATTTTAGTATGATGGAAACAAAAACAAAATTATTTGTTTAGTTTTGTGACCTATGCAAATAAAAACTCCATTTAATTATTTCATTTCAGGTGAAACAGATATGCATTGCATGTTCAGCCTGCTTAATTCTATTAAAACTCATTGTTATTTTTCTTATTTTGTTTAATTTTTAAGAAATCTGAAATAAAAATTAACTATTTTAAGATTAATAGAAAATGTGTTAACTGAAAAAATAAAACTATCACATTTATATTACAGTAAATGCATATTTGGCCCCGTAGAAAAAGATGATTTAACTTTTCAGATTTTTCATGTATTTAGATAACCTCAGGTCCCAGTTGGTCCAAATTATTTGGAGATCCACTAAAATTACCTCAAAATATAATCACTTGAAATATTTATATACAATATTTTACACATTCTTCATAAGCACTACTGCCTAAAAGTGACTGAGACAACTTCTTTAAAAGTTGAGACACTTTCAAAAGAACTGGGCACAACATTTGAGTTTCTACTAAGTGAATATCTAGAACTGAGCATCTAGCAAAACCATAGAATAATAATAACAAAATTTGTTTACATAGCTTGGCAAAGGATGTATTTCAAACAAGACATTTTTGCTAAACAAGATTAAATAACTTGTTTAACAATGAACAATGCAAGAAGAAATTCTTATAAACTACTTTTAAACTCACTTATTTCGTAACTCTGGTGACATCGTAGATGTAAGGTTCTCAGCTACATAACGTTCTTGAACAATTTCAGCTTCAAGCTGTGCCAGCTGTGCCTCCCTCTCTTGGCGCTGCTCAAAGAGTTTATCAATTGATTCAGCTTCCACTTCATTTTGAGCCTACCAGGATATATGTTATTCAGAAAATTAGTTACATGCTACTAAGGGTATGCAATGAATGGAAAAGTACAATAATTAAAATATTAATACTTCAATCAATTACTTATGTTTAGCTTGATGTTACACTAAAATTGGCAGAAAAGAAATTATGTTTACAATTTAAAAAAAAAAAAAATAATTCGTATTCATTTAAATAAATTAAAATTTATATGAAAATTTGCCCAATACTAGAGATGAAACATTTTTTAACTATCTTATTTTATATCATAATGAGTTACCACTCTTCACTGATACTGTTGATCAAAATTACAATTTCACATATGATATTAACAGAATTTTTTCTGAATCCATAGCATAATAATGCCAACACAATTATGTAGATGAGCTGGTATTTGTCAAGGCAGTAACCTTCACAGTGGCAATATAGTATAAAGAAAAATGGCAGCATTTTTATGACGATCAGTACTTAACTTGGAAAGAGGGACCCTACTTATGTCAAGGCATCTCAAATATAAAAATAGGGATTTTATATTTATATAGCAACAAAGGAAAATCTTGCATACATAGTACAGCCCAACATTTTGAGGCAGGCATCTTAGTGGAGGTTGCTTTTTTGAATTTAAAATGCTGATAAAAATAATATCGATTAATTAGTGATCTGCATAATTTATGTACAGTACAAAGTCCAGAATTTGGATTCATTAGGAAGTTTTTAAAGATTCTGCATTTTAGATCATTAATTTAAATCTAGTCAGTTGAGATGCAGAAACTACAAAATTAAATGTGTGAAATGATTGTTGGTGAAATAAAGAAGAAATCTGCCTGTTTTTTTTTACTTTATGAACTCAGAAATCTCAATCTAACTTGAATGCCCTTCATAAAGAAATCATTAGAAACATTAGAACACTTTTACACTGTTTCTGTTAATATATAATTACTGTATACCTTTAATTCTCTGTATTCCAGCTGAACATCAGCCATTTCTGCATCAGTATTTAACTTGTCTACAAGCAAATTATAATCAGCAAGCTGACCTTGTAGATCTTTCAGTTCCAGAGCTTGTGCTTCAGCCCTTTTCTCATATGTAAGATATGTTGATTGCTCTTTAGTTAAAAGATCTAGTTCCTTTGTAATCCTGGCTATTTCTGCAGTTAATTCATTTATTTTACTACGAAGAAGGCCCATAAAATATGATTTATCTTGCACCTGCCTTCGAGGAGTTCGAACTCCAGTCCTGGGGGTAACAAGACCTTGCTGAGACATTGGGCGATCTACAACATTTATATGAGATAAAACACCAACACCTTGTGCAAGACCACTACGAGTTCCAGGACGATTATTTGATGCAGTGATCAATCTACTTGCTGTGCCAGGTATACCTGACCGGCTGGGAAGAGCCATGCTAGTGGGATGCCGAACTGATGATATAGGTCTCAATCCAGAGCCAGGTCTGTTGCCTGCTGAAGTTGGTGGTCTACCATCCATAATGTAATTTGCACTAAAAAGAATAAGTATTTATAGCAAAATGCAAAGTACACTGCACATAAAAAAGACTACCAAAAACAAATTTACAAACTTCTACACAACAATGATTATATTAGAACTGCATATTGAAACCAGCTGGGACATTCAAAATTTTTATGAACCAGTTCATTGTCTAAACAAGCAATAACATTAGTTACTATAAAAAATAAATTACCTAAATAAATATTACAATTCAGTTATAATAATGTATTTGTCAATATAAAAACATTTTAAGAACTAGTTATGCAAAACAGTACAAACCAGCTTAATCTTTAAGCTGAAGCCTTATTTTACTTTATTTTTCAATGTTAGGAAGAAATTTGGTACTCTCTTGTTATTAGGACCAGATTAAAAAAATTATGTATGTGTATGTGCATATAGGGGTATGCAGATACACATGTAGATAAATACATGCCAACATGAATATAAACACACATACATACATACATTTCTGAATCTGGTCCCAATAACAGAAAAGTATCAAAAATTCTTATTCAAAACCATCACATCACTCAGTATTTCATTACCAACATATTTACTGTTGATTCAAAAAATGAAAAAGAAGGTAAGAGAAATACGTAGTAAAAATATATCAAGTAAATGTTAAAGATATTTAAGTTAGATTCTGCAGTTGGAAATCTATAAAAATCTTACTAAACATTCAAAACTACGTTGACCGAGCGTAATTGTCAACTATGCCTACACTGAGCCTGGGAGCATCAAAACTGAACTATGGATAAGTGAAAGACTATTGCCTAGTCATATGAATCACAATTTCTCCTTCATCACGACGACTGTCGTGTCAGGATATGCCATCTTCCAGGCAAACAGTTGCTCCCCCCCCTGTACAGCAGGTCATACACAGCCTGGTAGTGGTGGTAGGAATCCTCCAGCAGGACAATGCCCCATGTCACATGGCTTGAACTGTGTTGGAGTAATTTGAGGAGAATAAGGATGAATTCCAATTAATGTCCTGGCCAACTAACTCACTGGATCTTAGCCTGATAGAACATATTTGGAATATCATGGAACAGCAGCTCAGAGCTCAAACACCACCATAATAGAATACCTCGACTTTGCATGACCACTATTTAGACCTTTGTTACAACCTGTCTCTAGTCATCTACCATGAACTTGTGGCACCTATACCACTAGGTTCTTAAAGCACATGCATACAAGCAGAAGCCCAAGAGAGTTGCAGCTGGTTTGCAGGCTAAAGGTCGCACAACCCATTACTAAATAGGTGGTCATAATTAAAATAGAATGTGTTATTCATTTTGTGAAAGTGAGTTGTTTCATTTCAATATTATTTACATTGCTAATTTGTTGCACTGTCATCAAAATGAAAAATCTGATGTCAGGGAAATTTGTGGCCAGCTAATGGAAAATGACCAAGTGCTACTCCTTTTGGTTTTGGCATCTTTGCTAAATCAAGAATTCCCTCCCTCCTCGAACTTGTTTTTCAGTTAGAAGGAATACTATTCAGCCATACTGTTGTTAGAATTTTCAGCAAACGTCATAATCTGCAGTTTTAAATTTGCCATATAAAAATTTCTTTCATATAAAAAAAATAAAATAGCACATTGCAACAAATGACAGGTACTAGCTTCATATATAGCGTTACCAGAGTTAAAACTATCGTCACTGGCATTTCACATTTTACTTTACAGCAATTTAATTGGAAAATATTCCACCCCTTTAACTGCTTGGCAACATTTTCGCCCTCATCATGATATGTTTGAATGCAACAGGACTTTTTTCTCATTTTTGCTTCTATACAAATTTTGAATTTTGGATAAATTTTTCAAGAAGAAATGCAGTCTCATTATACATAGATTGGCTTACATTCGGCAATATACAGTATTCCTTTTACTTTCATTTGCTTGCATTTAATTTTGAACAAGGAGGGAACAGAAAAGTTTTTACTTATAGCAATTTTTCTAGTGTCTTATATCAATTAAAGATATTTTTAATTTACAATTAGCAGAAAGATAATGAAGTTGAAAATGGTCATAATCAACAAAGCAGATAGTAGCATATGTTTTTCAGAGTATATGAAAAAATATCTCAACAAACAGTGACAAAAAAAATGGCAATATTATTTAAAAAAGGGGGGAGAAAGGACAAAAATAAGATTATTCAATATATAACATTATAGATTCTGTATAATTTTGTTTTATAAGCACAAAAATCCAGAGAAAGGCAAATGATTAACAATGATTGAATTTTACAACACATGAATCATTTTAGCTGGAATATCCATGGCATAATACTGTGAATAGATTTTATTGATTAATTAAGAAAGGATTTCATAAATCATAACTACATTGATAATTAAAGAAAGTTGAAACAGGAATAACTAAATCTCATGTTGTTAAATACTTTGTGTTGACTTGTTTTAAATTTCTGTTAAAGACTTTTGACTTTCTTAAAAACTTAACATCTAACATGAGGATTACCATATGTCTGTTTTTTGTATTGACAGTAGGGTTTATCTTGATGAATTATAGACCCCTGGGTTTTCTAGAGCCCTTACCTATACTAACTTTAGCATAAATAACAGTAAAATTGCCAAAATATAGGCCCTCATATTCGTGAGGTCTCTGATCAAACCTGATCTGATCTGTACCTTAAAAATGACACTGTAGGCTGCTTTTAAGTGGTTTGCTCATATCTGTACCACTTTTAAGAAATATCAGATTTTTAGCTTGATAACTTTGTTAAGACATTTATAATTAACTAAAGCATTAAATATATTATAATATCAATTCTGTTACTAAATGCTTTTTAAAGAATAGGTTATAAAAGTGAAAGATGAGATTATTAATTTACAGAAGAAGGGATGGGCACAACACTTTAGAAATACTTTCCCTGGGATGAAGGTATTTTAGAATAAAATCAGATAATTTTTAATGTTAGTAGGTAACTTCATAGTTTTGAATCAGCTACATATTTATAACAGACCTACTGAAGAATGTAGTCTACTTTTCAATAATCTGAGCACTTTTGTTGATTACATTTTATATTTTTATTTCTATGAATAAATTTTTCGTTTATTGCATTAACTTAAAAATCATAAAGTTCTCTTAACACCTAAATTATTTTTTCACAGTGTCCTGGATTATATTTTCTCAAATACCTATAAAGCTCCTAACTAGAATATTTATTTCATTTGTTAATCACTTGAACAATGGCAAAAAAATTTGCATTTTAACAGGAAAGATAGCAAACATTTTAATCCAGCTCACTACTCTAACTATTAAAAAGTATGAAAACAAGATTATGCTATGTTAAACAAGAAAAATAAATTTAGGGAAAATGAGAAAACAGGGTAAAACTACTGTTCATGCAAAGGTGTCATAAGAAATGTTAAAAAAAAAAAAAAAAAAAAAAAAAAAAAAAAAAAACATGTGGGAATTGGATTCTTGTATTCTTGTTCACAACTTTGATCATACTGAGCAATTGCCTTTTTTGTCATTTTGTAGAAATGACTATAATTAAAGTGTATACAGATATTTTCCCATTTTTATAATGAGATCATAAAAATTAAAAGAATTTTTCAGCTGCACAGACAACGAGTATAAAAGTGTAAGGACATACCTATAATAATGTGAAGCCTTCTAATTGTTCTATAAAGGATTTTGGGGGCAAGCTGAATAAGAAAACACTTTTGGAAATCCATCAAACAAACTATTAGACTTACTTGTTGAAGGCATTATTCAAAAAAAAAAAAAAAAAAAGTTTAATTTTTGAAGAAAAAAATACAGAAGTAGTTTTGAAGCAGCACATGAATGGATTTCTATAAACTCATGAAAAAATTCGCACAACATTTGAAATAGAAAGATTATTTCAGAAGAATAGTTATGATTCAATTAAAGTGAATAAATACTTTTCATAAATTTTCTTGAACCCTGCTTTCAAGAAAAATGGTAATTCTAATAGCCTCTTTTTGGTTAAATGATAATGATAACATAAATAAATGATTTATACATATTTTATTCATTACTTATATAGAGTTACCATATTTTACAACAGTGAGCATTCAGGGCATACAACCTGCTGGAATCAAGTTAAGAAAAATTGCTTATGTATTGATACATGTAAAGTATGTGTAAAAATACAAGTGTTTCTATATTGATGCAATGTTATATTTTAGAATCTACTTATGACTCTCTAAAATTAAAAAAATTAAATAAATTTTTTTCGCTAGATAATATTTTCATTGCAACTTTTTCTAGATTTTCTATGTTCATAAAATGAATCACTATATGAATAGTTAGATTTTAATTTCAAGTTTAAAAGTTTTCTGTACTGTTCACATTTGTAGTTGAGCTATTTCTAGAGACCAAATGTTGTTTATATCTTAAAATATCCTTTCTGCTGCAGCTGATACATTTAATAATGACTCAGATTATTCAACAGACAGTCAGTCTCATTAAAAAAATCTCAAATACAATTCAAGACATAATTGCAAATCTTGGACATCTGGCAACGCTATATTTATGCAATGCACTGTAATTTTATAATAAAGTAAGCTATACAGAAGGAAATATCATTAATAAAGTCACAAAAAGATAAAGAGAAAATACACAGGACATTCACACATTTTTAGAACAGTTTTGGGGTTACTATAATTAATGTTTAAAATGTAATTAGTATTTTTTAAATATTCCAACAGCCTTTTTTCTGGACATTTTATATGTCTGCATTGTGATTTCCATGATACAATGGACTGAGTTCTGTCAGCTGTGGTGCCTTTATGCTTAAAAAGAGCAAATTTTCAAATGACCAGACACACAATAGCTCATAGGTGAAATGTCACAGAGCTTTGCAAGAATCTGTTGAAAAAATATATATGTAATACCTGTATGAATCTTTATTTTTTTAAGGAATGCAGTGGTACTTTTTGAAGCATAACTTGCTGCTTTGTCTTGATGAAGTTTCACTCTTTGAAAGTCATTGGGATAAAGAAATAGATAAATATCAGAACTTTCTCTTGATATATGTTGAGTTGAGTATTGAGTCCCCCCCCCACTCTTCTTATTTCTTATTTCCCATTGTAAGAGAAACCTGCAACATTCCTAAACCTTTTACTGAAACTTTCTTTGCTTTGAAAGAGCCAGGTTTGCACATTATTTTTTCCTCTTCATTTTCAGCAATTAATATATCTTTTTTGTTACAGTCAATTAGGTAAACCAATGCTTCATTAAGAATCACAGTGTAATTCCATTTATCTCATACTACTAAACTGATTTCATAGAGGGTTCTACAAATTGTTCTGAAATGAGTCAAATGCCTTAGCAAAACCTGGGTAACATGTTTTTTAGCTTTTTTGAATTGTAAATCTTAGTTTATTATTTTATTTATTGTTACTGCAAATGGATTTAAAGACTTCGCAGTTGACTTTAGCACTGGCAGATTTTTCTCTTGTTAGCAACAAATTAACATTAGAAATATTGGAAATTGTGCATACTTTTTTCTGATATTTGCTAGGAGTCTTCTTTCCATGCAGATGTAAAGACTGACAATTTTTTATTTTCTGATTCATAATAGTGCTTATTTTGCATTCAGAAATTTCAATACCATGCATTTATTTCACAATTTTGAATCATGGAATAGGAATATTTCTCTTCAGGAAGCCTCAAAAGATACTATTCAATCTATAGCTTGTTTACATGTGATATTTCCAAAAAAGAATAAATCCACAAGTAGCAGACGATATTTCTCATTTAAAATAATAAGTTTTTGCCAGGAAGTTTTATTCCAAAACTTTTTTTAAATTCTTTAACAAAATCGTTCTAAAAATGTGTAAACAATCCTCTATAAACCTAAAAAATAGCAATTTTTTTAATACTTCAGTTCTTTGTTTGAAAGACATCAATATTTTGTGAACCAAGCCAACATAAATTTAAGTATATATGATTTGATCACAATTCTTATGACAAGAAATTATATTTTTTCTGTCGTATATGGGAAATACTTCAAATATTACTGATATCTGATATAACCAATAAAAAATTTTATAACACATTTGAGCACAATATTCTATAATAGTAAATAATAAAAGTAGCTAACACTTGAATGCACAAGTGTTAGCTACTTTTATTATTTACTAAATATGTATGCTCACAACATACTCAGTTTTTTTTAAAAAATATTTTTACGTTATTGGTTTTGTGTTTGAGTTTTTATCAAACAGTTATAAATTGCAATTTCAATAATTATGTGGAAAAGCAGTGATATGGAGCTATACAATTCAAATTCACACAGTTTAAGAATCAGCTGCATTAATTCATCTCATAATCAGTATTTCTAGAATAATTTATTATTACTCTATACTCAGTAATATGCAAGATAAGTTGCACCAAAGGTAAAAGCTCATCCTTAGAAGCTATTATATAATTTGTAGACTCTCCAAAATAAAATAGAAAAATTAATAAAGAGCAGTTTACAACAATTCCAGGAGAACTTACAACTAATTAATTAAGGCTGCTTAGAATAAGCAATTATCATCACAAAAAATGTGGCCCGATTCCACAAATTTGATCTTTTCTCAGCTGTTATGTCAATTGAAATTTAACTGCTGCATGAACAAATAGCAGTTTTATAAGCTGTAGATAATTTTATAGCTATGAAAATATAATATGACTAGCATAAACTGCTGAATTTGTACGATAAGTAAACGAAATTTTGTATAGAAATGCAAAGGAAGTAATTTGAAATATTTTAATTGTGAAAATGCATTCTGTTTGAATTAGGGCAAGGGTATACCGCTGTTTCTTTTGAAACTGAAAAGTATAAAGAAAATGGGAATTTCTAACGCTCAGATAAATTATATCTGGTTTCTTGCAACATTGTAACACACATGGGTAAATTTCTCTCATTTTCAGCATTTTTCAATATAGCTGTATTTATGATGTAAAATTTTAAATAAAGATGCTTAATTTAAGTTCTTACCTCACGATCGTGTGGTAATAGTTAACCAGTAGTAACGTTATATATGGTTTTACATATAAAGTATTCCTACACTTTCTACATTTTTCGCATGTCGTTTGTCGCGATTAGTTGCATATGGTTACTATGGTAACAGATAACGCAAATATTATACACTGAAAGAACCATGGAGGAAGGAGTGGCTAAAAATCGGTCACCAGATGGAGCATTTTTTGTTTACATTCAGAAGCCCGCTTGACAGCGCTCTGATAGTATTTCGACACACAGTTCCATACAAATCGAAAAACGGGACACTTCTGCATAAAAGAAAAATGCCTAGTGTGATGGATAATAGCAATTTGTACAGTTTAGTGACATTTACGCAAAAATCACATCTTGGTTATTTTTCGTTAACTAACAACAGCGATTTTGATTATGAATTTGTTTTATAAAATTCTAAGCTGCTAAACTACAAAAACGTAGATTTTAGCAAAAATGTTGTGCTTAAAGAATGAAAAATACCTCATCGTACCTTTAAAATTGTATACATCTTTCGATACCCTTGATACAGTATTCGCTACTTTTATTTTATGTTCCAAACGCCAAAATGTTTTAAATAAAATATTTTTTTTCACATCCACATATTATTGTAACATATACTTTTCTAAAATTAGTGTAAATTACTTTACTCGAAAAATACAGTGAATGCACAGAAATTAAAGATTTCCTCATGCCGGAAATGAAAAATATGAAATATGTATGGGTATTTATGCATGTGCTTCCAAAAAGCATGTATCTGCCTTTAACAAAATACGTAAATATTTTATTATATTATTTATAAATGTATTTGAAATGAAGGATTATTCATTCATAAACAACTGTGAAAGTTACTGTGAAGAAATTTAATTATTAAATGTATCGAAATTTATAATGATTATAAATATTATCTAAATATATAATAATCTTAACACTGAATTGTAAACATAAATTGACATCCTGTTGACAAATACGTTATAAAACTATTTAAGCAAGAATTGTTCGTACTGGAAAGCAATCTGTTAAAAGTATTGTAAAGCGATTTCTATGAGATGCATATTTAAAAAAGTAATAAAGAAGATTTTTTTTTTTGAATATGTATTGTTGAAATTAAGGGTAAAAAAATCTAGTAAGTATAATTAAAAGAATTATTCCCCTTACATTTTATAATAAGTCAGTTACAAGTTTTAAATAATATTTAAAAAATAATCCTTACTTTATTCCCTTTCAGAAATATTCAGAGAAAGTTTAGTACTATTTTACAATATAATTTAAAAATATAGCATTTAATTCCGTTCAGAATGAAGTGTTGTTTAAAAATGTATTCTTTTCATATACTTAGGACTCTGAAGTATTGTAGAAAAGGAAAATATATACATTTATATGCATATTTACGATGTAATTACAAAATATTTACATCCGATCGTGTCAAAACCCATTGAACTCAATGGTAAATTACCCAATGTTTTGGTCTCCAAAGAAGGGATTGCCAGTGCTTCAAAGCAGGGTATGGGTAAACCTAAGGCTCCTATATAGAGGAGCCTTAGGTAAACCGGTTTAGAGCCACTCCATCTAACTTCCTACCTCCGTGGAAAGAACTAAGGGGAAGGTGTAATTCTTCCTCCACCGCAGGAGCTGAAGCGTTTCTGATCTTCCCTGTTGAAGCACTGTTCTGTTTTTACCAGTTTTACAATCAAAGGAGGAGTGGCATTTGGTTTACATTCTGTGCGCGTTGCGTTACTTTTAAAACGTTGTACTTTACGATATTTTCCTCCTTTTATAATAATCTTCGATAGTTAAAATTGTGCCTCAAAAGGCTGTTCAGCTTTATTACTCAGATCTTGCGAAAATTAATTCGAGTGCTTCATCTACTGATTTGTAGTTGGATTAACCAGGTTGGAAATTAACTGGGCGAAAGTTGTGTATCTTGGAATGATGAAAAAATTATTAACACTCAAGAATAAAGCAAATTGTCCAGAAACAGCAACAAAGCTTACAGACATTAACCAAACCCCAACAATGTTGATAAAAACTAAAATAATTGTAACAAGCTAAGAAACAAGCCTAAGTTCTTTTCGTAACTCACCAAAATTTTGTGCTACCTTGCATTTCCATATACTATGTAGTTCTCTTGCAGCAAATTATGCCACCAGCTGTAACGGTTTCCCAGATGCTTTCATTCATTTGCATTTTCACCCTCGGCTCGGTTTCACACTCATCGTTAATTCAAGACCAAAAATTTTGTATCTTAATTGACCTTCTAAGTATTACAAGTCCTTAAAGTTCGACTAATGTTTTATCTTATGTTGTACATAATTAAGAATTACTCAACAGTTCGATTAGGGGTAGGGCCTTCGGTTCAGATGCCCTGACCGACCATGAATTTCAGCAGAATGCCAGCCATGGTTGGGTTTGAAACGGTCGAACTATATCACTTACTAAATTTTAGCGAAAGGACTTTTTTTAACACGTATATTATTTCTCATTATTTTTAAAACCTGATTCTTTTGAAAAAGTTATTCGAAACGTTTTTGTTAAACAAAATTGTTTATTCAAAAAGTTCTGAAAATGAACTTACATAATCATGCACACACTTAAAAAAAAACTACACTCAAAGAGGATTCGCTTTTCCAGAGCATCTGGGATAAAATTATTTAAAAACAGCATATGTTTAGAATTTTTGATACACAGTCTTGAGTGTTGGAGATAAAAATATTTTATTCTGTTCAGTGTATTGCCACTACTCGCTTTGAAATCGTTCAGTTCCTTAACTAAAAATTCGTTAACCCCCCGGAAAAAAAAGATAATAAAACAAATTCAAAATTCAGGCTTCCAGGTGCTCATGTTCGGGTGGAGGACTACGTTATTTAAAATTTAATCGCTCTTGGTATGGTTGTTTTTTCACAATGCGAGAAACATACACTCATGCAGATTCTTCATTACTTAATTTCTTTAAATATAATAAAGGGCCATAATATTTGGTGAACACAATTTGAAAAGTGATACAGTCGTTTATGGTGATTAGACGCAAAATGCCATTTGGAGACACGGCCTTTCTGAGCTTACGTCTCTTTGGTCTAAAAAAAGATGATGCGTGAGTACAGGTTCGTAATAGATTGACTGCCCACAGAATTGATCATAGCGTAACAAAATTTATTTTATCAAAAGAAAAACGTCACAGTTCTGGAACTGTTCCCCAAAATATTCGCACAGCTCTTCGCAGTGTTGCAGAGTACAGTCAATTGTTACACTTCAAACTACTAAGAACATTAAACACAACGCATTGCAAAGCGCATCTAACGAGCGATGCTAACCCCGAGATATCTCAGTACGCCTGACTCCCACTGAACTAACAACTGACAGCTGATGCTCTTCTCCGTCTTATATGGGTTTCGTCCGGCCGCTGAGATATTTCTAGTGCTTTCTGCGTCTCGAAATTACTGGAAGGCATATGAGGGCTGAATACAGTTACAATTACGGTTATTCAGTTACAATATCCATTACAGTTATAATTTGACCAGATCCAAAATGCCTCCAAATGGAGGCCAAGTTAGGCGAATTGTGGCGTTTTATCGCCAAATTTGACGACAAAAATCAGTTGCCAAATGCATCGCCAACTTGGTGATATCTCGCCAGTTTAACGAGATAGATATTTCCTTTAATGTATAAATAGGCTTGTCCCTGTTTTCTCATTTTTCCAGCAGAGCATCGCCTCTTTACACTTTCATGTTACATTACAAAGAAAAAATACACTTTCACTAATAATTTCACCAAAATTATCTCTCTATGCACAAAATTCGTAACAATACTCCCCTTTTTAAAGGGCGACTGGGAATTAGGTGACCAAGTCTCCAAATCCTGGTAGTGACGAACTGTCGTCCTCCTCCCTTTAGTTCGGGTGCCACTGCAGAGTCATTAGGCTTTTTTATGCGGGAGACGTAAAATATGATCAATGTTCTCGCCGGGACTCGAACCTAAGATCTCTAGAATACGCGCCGAGTGTTCTAACGTTACACCACGAAGACATTATGGAAGGAGTGAGAAAGTACCTTATACAGTTATATTACAAATGCTACATATGCTAAGTCAACATTTTAACAAAATTTCCTGATCATTCATGCTTGAAATCTCAGGAAACAAAAGTTATAGGATTTACATTCATTCTACAAATATAGAAACTGGTTTCTACATAGACAAAATACGGCACTTTTCCGTTTTGCCGGCGCAAGCGATAAAGTCGCCAATAATGGCACAACCGATGCCAAACGGAATATTCTCGCTGGTAACCTTTTACGCCTTATTCAGATAGTTCAGTTTTATGTCTAAGGCCATTTTCGGCAATTAAATCAATTAGGATGCAATCACAGCGCTTACCCGAAGCCGAAAATATAGAAAAGGTAAAGTTAAGGGTTAAATTCATCAATTCTAATGAGAATGCATTAGCGAAGTAAAGCCCTGCAGTTTTACATAATTTCTGAGTAAGCTATTCGTACGAATTGAAGTATTTCTTGCATTTAAACTTGTGTTCCAAATTAAGATTTAACTTGAAATTAATGTAGATAATTACTGAGAGCATTATATTTTTGTAGAGTAGTATACGTGAGATGAGATCGCTTGGGGTCACGTGATATGAACCGGCGAAACAGGATGTTGAACCATGAAAGCATAGTAAATTCTTAAATTAATGTCTTTTTATAAATTTATTGTCTTTATTTATTGGCTTTTTATAAAATTTTAAGCGATAATTAAATGTTTATGCCTTCAAAAAAAAGAATTCTTAGGACTAACATTTTTTTAATATTTTTTGTGTGTATAATGTATGTTGTCGCCAATAAAGTCTGCTTGGCGAGATTTGCGCCGGCGAAACGGAAAAGTACCCAAAATACTTTTTTTAAACCAAAATGTTATAGACTTAAAAACGTAAATTTATCTTTAAGATTTAAAGGCTTTCAAATAATTTGACTTAGTATTTAGTCATTTAATAGTGGCTGAAAGACAACAAAAAACCAAATTATCTGATATTTAATGCAAAACAAAAGAAGGGTTATTAAAAAACCAAAATAAAAATAGTAATATTGAGTAAGTATTGTTATAGTTTATCAACGAAGCAAATATATCTGTTATTTCTCAGGCTACAGACTCAGGCATATATTCGTCAGA